GGGGGAAAGAAGAGGTAACTGCACTCTCTCTCCCCCTTTGCTGGAATTAACTTGCAAGATTTTCAGCTCCCTGGTCCCTGCTTTAGAAATGTCCCTTCCAAGCCTCTGCTCAGTACAATATACGCCTCATACCACTCTACTGTTTGACTGCTCTGGAGCCCTCAAATAACTATTGATATTTTTCTACGCTCTTTTTGTGCAGCCTAGAAAAATGCAGTTTACAGCTATGGAATCAGTCCTGCCATGAACGAGGGAGCTGTGCATCATCTACCCCTGATATGGCACATGTAAGGATCTACATTGCAAGGGGAGGAGCTAATGGGGTGAATGGAGAGAGGGAAAGCCTCTCCAAGGACCACAACCAGCCCTACAGAGCCACCATCGTTAAGTCAATCCCTATTATTTCGCTGATAGGCTTGCAATTAGGGAGAAATAAATACAGAGTGAGGCACTGACATTTCATCCTCCTGGCCTCTGCTTCGAGTACAGACTCGGGCCAGACAGGGAAATCTGAGCGTGTCAGTCTTAAAAGAGGACTAAAACAACACAACTCTTTATCCTTTGGCCCAGCCTTCAAAATCCGCTCACAGAAGAATTCAGGAATGAGCTATTTATAGCGGCTGAACCACCTCCAGGCCCTCTGCAGAAGGTTGTCCCAGGAGAGCCCCGCTAAGACAAAGCGGAGCAGCGCGAGCAGAATCTGCCTGCCTCATCAGGAAGGTTGAATTTCACCCCGGCCAAGAGCATTCTGGGCAACAAATGAGGCCTCCCATAATGTATTCCAATAAAAACAGAGGCTTTAAAAAGAAATCTGTGTTTTGTTCCCTTCCAAGACACATAAATCGTTTGAAATGGTGCAATTTTAGGAGCCTTTGTGATTTCTTTTAGGCGATGCCTCCCTCTAGTGTTAAAGAAGGCGCTACCGGCTCTGGCTCTGTTGGGTTTTGAGGAGGTGAAAGATTTTCCAGTGCTTGAATATTTATATATAGAATCATAGAATGGTTTGGGTTAGAAGGGACCTTAAAGATCATCCAGTTCCAACCCCCTGCCCTGGGCAGGGACACCTCCCACCAGACCAGGTTGCTCAAAGCCCCATCCAGCCTGGCCTTGAACCCCTCCAGGGATGGGGCAGCCACAGCTTCTCTGGGCAACCTGGGCCAGGGTCTCACCACCCTCACTGTAAAGAATTTCTTCCTAATATCTGATCTAAATCTCCCCTCTTTCAGTTTAAAATATTCTCTTCTTGGCGCTATCTGACCATCTAAACACAGTCTTAGCATGTCTCTGCCAAGGAGCTTTAGGAACCATCATGCCCTGCAAGGAGAGCCAGGGCAGGTCGTCAGCAGGTGGGAGACATCCTATTACACGCTTATTCAGTACTAAAAACTAATATTTATTTGTTTTCTTTTTATTCAGGGCCTTACAAAGCACTGCACACATAGAGCTGTAAGAGATAGAAAGCAAAGAGACACGTGAAGCGATGATCTGCCTGCAGGCTCAGGAGGAGTTCTCTACGAGCTGCAGCAGACTTGGCCAGAAAGTCACTTTTTTTCTTCCTCTGGAGAAACACGCAGCCCAAATAAGCACAAACACGCTTCCCTAAAAAAATTCGTATTGTCAAGAGCTTCCTTACATGTGAGCCTTGGTCTGGCAATATTTGTTGGAAACACAAAAGGTGAGCAAGAGGTGATACAGAAATCTAACCACGGTCAAATAGTGGAAGAATCCTTCACTTCTGGAATTTATTCCCATTTTTCCAACCCAATAGCACGTTAGGAGAAGATTTCTGCATTTAATTTCCTAAATGCACCACAGCAGGGAGAGAGGGAGGAAAAAAAAAAACCAGTTTTATTTCTCTGCAGTATAAAAAGTAAGAAGTATTGCTCGCCGCCAACGACACAATTATTTTCAAAGAGCTCAGCATCTCTCTTAAGTTGATATATCGGCTTTATTACGCTGGCGTGGCTCTGAGAGATACTTGCCACTCAGCTCCCTGGTACAGAGACCCAGATGCCTCATTGCTGTGGGTGGAATTCCCATTTCTGCCAATGCTGCCGGCAATTCTGTGCCCTCCTGACGAAGGAACGCACTCCCCTAAATCATCCCTTATCTATTTTCATCCCGATTTCACAGTTTTAGCATTTTGTTTTAAAAGCCTCAGCGTGCCTCGCTCGGGGTACAGCGTTTTCACCACCAGCACAGAAGCCTCCGAGGGGGTTGGCTCAAACCCAGAGCTGATATTTCACCAGGAAAGGACAGAAAAAGAGAGAAGTTAAAGTGATCTGCACTAAAATCTGCCCCTGCCATCTGGTTTTTAACAGGATAGTGCCGCCCGTGGGCACCAAGACACTCCACACCTGACTAAATGACCCCTTTAGCATAATCTTGGGATTTTCAGATTCTGAAGTGGCCTCGGGCAGGAGAAGTGAACCCGGGTCATCAGCTCAGCCACAAAAGCAGCATCTCTAGTAACAACCATAGTCCAGGGAAGCACACAACTGCTTCGGGGAGCCTGAGGTGGAACCTGAGGTGTCCATCCCTTCTCAGCAGGGAAGGGAAAGTTTCTGCTCCTGAAACTCAGGCTCAAGATGTTACCAAGCTGGGTTTGAGGCTTCTTCCAAAATTCCATTGGAGTCTTTCCCTCCACCAGATTTCACAGACCAGCCCCTTATTTAAGCACCTGGTTTTTTTTTCTTTTTTTAAAGCTAGTGTGTTTCAGGCTACTTGAAACATGTTTCATAGCACGGGGAATTAGTCCCAAGAACAATCTACCATGTCATGGAGTGAATTTTCTACTGTTGAGCGTATTTAAATCAAAATGTGATGCCTTGCTAAGCCATCTGTGCTACCTCCACTCCAAGGAGGTAGGAGTTCCTGAGTGAGAGTCTTTGCTGTGTGTCACACAGGAGGTCAGGAAAAAAATGATCTAATGGTCCCGTCTGGCCTTAAGCTCTATGGATCTATGAATAAATGAAAAATCTTAGGCCTGAGCACTTTGGGACAAGGAAGGTCTTTAAATATTTAGCAAAGCACTGTGTCCACAGGGACTGCTCCATAAATAAGAGTAGTGGTCACATGCCTGAGGCTCAGCCATCTCAGGTCACCATAATGTGTGTAAACACTTGTGTTTATGAGAGCTCGGAGATGATATTCAAATCCTGGGGTCATTTCACTCTGAAAACGTAGTGGTTCTCTGAACATGTAAATTATTTTTTTCTTAGCTGGTCAGTCCGACCCTCCCTCTGTTGCCATCAGTCCCAGTTCATGTACAGGATTTCCTCCGAACGAGATCCATAAATATGCTCTGTCACAAAGTCCTTCCTTAGCCTTCAGTTTGGCAAAATCCGCACTAGAATCCGCAGAGGAAAAGCCTAATTGGAAAAGGAAGGCTGGAGATTCGGCCAACTGTCAGCAGGGTACACCCTTACCAGCACAACCAGGGCTGGAGAGGATCATCTCCTGCTAAGGACCAGGGACACACGGCAGGTTACTCCTGGGTGCACTGTATTTCCCACAGGATTCCCAGCCACGACTCTCAGCATCATTATTTTAGAGTAGGATGGACTGAAAATTAAACCACTGCCCCTTTTCTCCCCCATCGCTGACAGTAATTTACAGAACCTGCTTTTTCATTACCCAACTCGGAGCCGCGGAAACAAATTGCTTCCTTTCCAAGTTGTTATTCTGTTTGAGCTTCCTTGGAAGCCCGTTTGGCGTTTCCTCACAGCCCCCCAGAACCCACAGCTGAGCTCGGAGCTGCTGCTTTCCACGCTCCGCCGGGATCCCTCCCAGTCATCCTGCGAGGCTGGTTAGAAAGGGGAGATGCCCACCCAATTTAATTTCCCAGTCTTGCCAGTTCAAGTAAAAAAAGCATAATTACTGCTTGTCAAAAGCTGCCAGGACCACCTGTGCAGTTCTGTGCTTTCTTGAGACTTCCAGACATTGGGGGCTGGAGGGAATATGGGAAAAGGAAGGGAATGGAACATCTTCAGTCAGTGACTTGTAATTGTAGTACAGAATAAAGCCAGGCAGCTGACAATTTTGAAAGTTATTTATTAATACTCACAGCAGCAGGTATTAAAGGTAATGGTATAGAAATGGAGAGCTGCCCGGCAGAAAAGGGCCTGGGGGTGTTGGTCGCCTGTTGGCCGAACAGGAGCCAGCAGTGTGCCCAGGTGGCCAAGGTGGCCACCAGCATCCTGGCCTGGATCAGGAATAGTGTGAGGAGCAGGACTCGGGGGGTGATGGTCCCCCTGGACTGGGCACTGGGGAGGCCCCACCTCAAGGGCTGTGTCCAGTTTTAGGGCCCCTCACCACCCAATCCCGAGGAGAGCCCTGGGCCTCTGTGCAGGCAGCCCGAGGTGATCCATGGGCCTGTGGGCAAGTGACCCAAGCCTGAAGTGATCCATGGGCTTGTGGGCAAGCGGCCCAGATCCTAAGTGACCTGTGGGCCTACAGGCAGGTGGCCTGAGGTGACCCATGGGCCTGTGGACAGGTGGCCCAAGCCCAAAGTGACCCACAGGCCTGCAGGCAGGTGGCCCGAGGTGACCCGTGGGCCTGTGGACGAGCGGCCCAAGCCCGAAGTGACCCGTGTTTCTGCGGGCGAGTGGCCCCAGCCGGTCCCGCGCACCGCCAGGCAGCACCGCACTAACGAGGCGACCCCACGGCAAAGGGCCAGCGGCCCCGGGGCTACTCGCCCTCTCCCCGCAGCGCCGGGGAACCCATCACGGCCTGCCCGCCCTGCGCCTTCCGGCACCACGCACGACGCACGACGCACGCGCGACTGTGACGCCGCCGGTCGCTAAGGAAGTGACGCAGCCGCGCTGGGCGTGCGTGGGCGGAGTGTCGGCGCTGTGAGGAGGAGAGGCCTCCCCAGCGGCCAGGTGAGTCCAGCTCCAGGGCCCGGGGGCTCCCGGTGGCCCTTCCCGGTCCGGGCGGAGGCGGCTCCCCCCGGAGCCTCTTCCCGGTTCCCTCCCGGCTTCGGGGCCGCGGTCCCGTGTCCCGGCCGTGCTCGCTGAGAGCGGGGGAAGGCGGGGGGCGGCCGGGGTCCCTGAAGGGGACAGACACCAACAACGGTGTCTGTTGCCTGAGGACCCGGGGCGTGCTCGGAGCTGATGAAAGAAAACCCAAGAGGCCAATGGGATCCTGGGCTGCGTAGGGAGGAGTGTGGCCAGCAGGTGGAGGGAGGTCACTCTCCCCCTCTGCTCTGCACCGGTGAGGCCACAACTGGAATCCTGCCTCCAGTTCTGGGCTCCCCAGTGCAAGAGAGACAGGGAATTGCTGGAGAGAGCCCAGCGTAGGGCAACAAAGATGATAGAGGCATTGAAGCATCTCCCTGATGAGGAAAAGCTGAGAGAGTTGGGCTCTTTAGCCTGGAGAAGAGAAGGCTGAGGGGAGGCGATGAGGCCACAGCTGGAATCCTGCCTCCAGTTCTGGGCTCCCCAGTGCAAGAGAGACAGGGAACTGCTGGAGAGAGCCCAGCGTAGGGCAACAAAGATGATAGAGGCATTGAAGCATCTCCCTGATGAGGAAAAGCTGAGAGAGCTGGGGCTCTTTAGCCTGGAGAAGAGAAGGCTGAGGGGAGGCTTATCTGTGTTTACAAGTATCTAACGGCTGGGAGGGTCGGTTGAAGAATTGGAATGGACATTGGAATGGGCTGCCCAGGGAGGTGGTTGAGGCCCCATCCCTGGAGGTGTTCAAAAGACGGGTTGATGTAGTGCTGGGAGGTCTGGTTTAGTGATGATGCTCCTTGTTTGTTGTGCGGGTGTCCGTTTTTGTCAGTTAGGTTGACGGTTGGACAAGATGATCTTTAAGGTCCCTTCCAACCTAGAAGATTCTGTGATGATGGAGCCAGACTCTTTTCAGTGGTTCCCAGTGACAGGATGAGGGACAAGAGGCACAAGCTGGAACATGGGAAGTCCCACTCAAATCTGAGGAAAAACTTTACTTTGAGGGTGGCAGAGCCCTGGCAGAGGCTGCCCAGGGAGGGTGTGGAGTCCCTTTCTCTGGAGATCTTCAAGCCCCACCTGGATGCTCCTGAGTGATGTGCTCTGGGCAGCCCTGCTTTGGCAGGGGAGTTGGACTAAATGATCTCTAGAAGTCCCTCCCAGCTCTGACAATTCCATGATTCTGTGAAAACCCTGAGCTGGGACTGGGATCCATGAGCTGCTGTGGTAGGAGAGGCTGCTGACGGAGCCCACCTGCCCTTTTAGTGTCTTCTTGCAAGTTTCTCCCTGAAGTTGATAAAAAGTACTTCCTTTCACTAGTCAGTTTCACCCTGAAGGCTCCAAACAGCATCAGTTCCAGCCTTGCCTTTGTAAGTTACTTCAGGGTTAGTTTCATAACAGCTGCTTTATGTTCTGCTTCAAAGCTGAATTGTCAAGCTACACCCAACTGTTCTCATCAGTACTTTCACTGGTAAGGCTTAGCGTGTCTCAAAAACTTGTATTTTTTGGTTTTGGATAAGTTAAGTTGCACGTGTTTTTGTTATGTTATAGTCTTCTGGAGCATGACCATTTACACGCAGGACTGAGTGCACTGTCCTTGCCAGAGTGATTTTGAGAGGTGAAATCTGAAAGGAGAGTAATTTTTACAGGTTGTTTTATTTGTCTCGATATCAGCATCTTCCAGGAGTATTCATATAGTTGCCCTTAAGAAGTTTTTGGCCACTTTTTCCTTTTGATTGTGGAAATTAGTGTGGAGAGGCCTTTGGGGGGAGAACTCATGGAGAAGTAGACTACTAAGTGCTTTGAAACAAGAATGTCTCATAAAGAAACATGCTTGTTGATTTGCTTACTTTTATTTGGGCTCAGTCTCAATGAGTAACTCTGTGTTTGTGAATATTTTTGTGATGATGTGGGGTTTTTTTTCTTGTCTTTGGGCAGAGGATGCCAACGGACAGCAGCCACCTGCCAGACAGTAGCCATGAACAAGACTCTCTTACTACTTCAAGCAGTAATTCCCTGCATAATGCTGAGGAATCGGGAGCTGAACAAGAAAATGGCACTTGTGACAGTGACCTGGATAACAGCATTGGAGTTCCCAACTCCACCAGCCAGCCATCGACTTCCATGGATGTTCCTTTGGAGGTGCCCAGAAGAGGACAACCCCTTCTACACATCAACAGGCAGCAGATTCAGTCGGTCTCAGACAGCGCACAAGCTGCTGAGCTCAAGGGTTTAGGAGTTGATGTCTATGACCAGGATGTATTGGAGCAAGGAGTTCTCCAGCAAGTAGATAATGCAATTAACGAAGCTAATAAAGCAGCAAAAAGAGCTGATGCAGAGAAGGAATATCAGTCAGTGCTGGATGACATCAGGTAAATTGTGTCCGTCCTTTACTGTCCCTTTCTGTTGCTCACTATCTAATGAGACTTGGTGTCTCGTGTTTTTAAATGCTGGAAGATGAAAAGATGTTTTGGAAGCACTGGAGCACACGGACTCTTCTGAGTCACCCACCTTTTTTAAAAAGAGAAAATATTTTTCACATCAGAGCGATGCTTCATTGCTCTTATTTGATAAATTCAGCCATGCATCGAGGCAGTAGAGGAGAGCACATCTCCTTTCTCTGCTTTGTCTCCTGCCTCACCGAGCTGTGTGTCTGCTTTCTGGGCAGTGGAGAACTGTGTCATACTCTGTTCTTCAAAGTTATAGTCAGAAAAATTGCCAATTCTGTGTGCTTCTGGGTTATCTGCTCCTGGTTACCTGCCTTCTGTAACTTGGGTGACTCCATACCACAAGCAGACTACGACCAAAAACCTTATCACTATGTGATGTACTTAATGACACCTTAAAAGAATCTAATTGCTTAATCAACAGGATATATTGATAGTAGAAGACTTTGAGGGATAGGAGCCACTGATCTCTTGAGTTTTGGTCTTGGATCTCCCGTTCTGTTTGCGGTCTCATTGTAGAGTTACTGTGTGAGCTGCTGCAGGTGAAAATTACTACCTGTGTGTCTTTAGCTGCAGTAATGTTGGTTTTTAGTGCTCAAGTGTTCTGTAGGCCTCAGTCACTGATGGGAACTCCTGCATAGCTCTCTTCTTATGGGTGTGCTTCATTTTATGCACTTCATTAATTTTCCAGTTTGGGTGTGGAGGTGTGAAACCGAGTAAATTTGCGAAACTGGAACCTGATTTCAGATGGTATGTAGCAGAGGGACGTCATAAGTAACATGGTCCTTGAGAGGAAGAACGGAGCAGCGTAACCATCACAATTAGATTCTGCAGTTAATGAGGAAGTGGTGCACAGCACTGGCAATTACTTGATACTTTCCTCTCATTCTTTAAGAAGCCTCCTGTGATTTTTCTTCCCGCTCTATTTTCACCTTCCATTTCAAGTTGTGAAATGAGATTTATGTGAGGGGTGTACGACTGGTTTCTGCAGACCTGCAGAGCCTCTTCTCTGTAACGGGTGATGTACAAGTCTGAAAGTTGATTTTGGAGGCGAATTAGCAGAGATGCAGCTGGCTTCTTGAGCAGAGGGACTAACACACATAGAGATGTACAAGTGGAGCCTTGGTTAAAGTCCTGTAACACAGTGATTGCGTGACTAGAGGTAAAGTTGGGCAAGAAGTGGGTTTTGAGTAGTTGGCACAGAGTTCTCTGATAGAAGCTCCTGGGAGAACATGGTAAAATCCAGATGAGAGCTGGAGAGAAGCATGCCCCAACAATTTCCTCCCTGACAGTTGCAGAGACTTTAGTAGTGCTTCTCTTTGCACGTGAGGTGAATAACACACTTTGTGGGTGTTGTAAAGAGTTTTCTTGGACATTTTTTCATCATGTCAAAGTGCAGTGTGTGTATCCTTCTGACATTCTGCTGATTGAATCAACAAAGCTGGATTTATTGCTTCTGACACCGGGGCACTGCCTCCTTTCTTGCAAACAAATTCAGCAGCAGAAACAGATGGTATTGGGTTATAGGATGTGGTTTAACCTGAATTTCATATTCTGTCTGGAGACAGGAAAAATGCCGTTGGAGGAGGAAGGAATTTTTAATGTTGATGTGCTGTTGATTCTTTGAGCTAGTCTGTCTTCCTGAAATTGTATTTTTATTTTATAATCTGTTCTTTGTGTAAAAGAGACATTGTAAAGGGAAAAGAAATAGACTTCCTTATAAATAGGCTTCCTTATATAATGACATCAAACTACTAAGAGTTTTGGAAAACGAAAACGTGGGATTTCCTGTTTAGATTTTTGTTTTGCATTTTGTTTACCTTGAATAATACAAGCAACCACTATCACTTGCTTATAATTATCATCAGACTTGTAACTTTTGAGGACTAAATATTGCAGTGGTTTGTTCAGTTTCCTTGCTTCTGGAATTTTAGTATTAGCAAAATATTGTTAAAAAATATTTCATGAAGCACAACTTTTAAAAGTGTTTAATATTTCCAATGTTGTTTAAGTAAGAGATTCTTACTTAGAAACTTACCTTTAGACCTTTTTCAATCTTGCCTTAAATCTTCTGGGACCTCTAAATTGTCTGAGGCAAGATTTACTATTTTTCTTTCTGGAGTTAACCAGTACATTGCAATCTTCTTGTTATTTTTCAGGTCATGTACGACATCTCTGAAACAAATAGATAAAATTATTGAGCAACTTTCACCTCAAGCTGCTGACAACAAAGATATAAACAGAAAACTCGATTCTGTAAAACGGCAAAAATATAACAAGGTGATGGGATTACATTCATTTCCTGCTGACAATACTTAACTTGTACTTTGGCTTAAGGTTTGGATTATGTGATATAATTCTTGCTTAATTATAAACTTCAGAGTCAGTTTATGATTGATTTTCCCTTCCCTTTTCAGTGGTTTAATTTTCTACCAAAAATGTAAATAATCAAGTTAAAGATGAGAGAGTGAGAGCTGAATTATATTTTTATTTGATTTTATTCAAACTTCCAGGACCTGCTCAGAAGCCTGATTTGCGTTACTTTAATTAAATCCCTCCCAGAAGTATTTTGAGAATTAGCAGGGTGTTGTTAGTGCATGACTCAATAGTGGACTGAAATCTCAGCTCTCATGGTCTTCATTCCTTCCTTTCCTTAATCCTCTTCCATTGGCTGTATCCTCCTTGTGCCAGTGCCCATCATTCCTTCCCATGTAGCACTCACATCCGATGGAAATTCACCTTCATATTTTCTCTAATGATAAACCTGACCAAAAAAACCTCCTGTCCTTTGCCCTCAGCTGCTTCTTCCCCATCTCGGGCCCTTTGCCACGGACTCGTTCAGTTGTTTGGTTTTTAACCTTGATGGTTTCAGAATGAGTAACTCTGTGTTTGTGAATATTTTTGTGATGATGTGGGGTTTTTTTTCTTGTCTTTGGGCAGAGGATGCCAACGGACAGCAGCCACCTGCCAGACAGTAGCCATGAACAAGACTCTCTTACTACTTCAAGCAGTAATTCCCTGCATAATGCTGAGGAATCGGGAGCTGAACAAGAAAATGGCACTTGTGACAGTGACCTGGATAACAGCATTGGAGTTCCCAACTCCACCAGCCAGCCATCGACTTCCATGGATGTTCCTTTGGAGGTGCCCAGAAGAGGACAACCCCTTCTACACATCAACAGGCAGCAGATTCAGTCGGTCTCAGACAGCGCACAAGCTGCTGAGCTTAAGGGTTTAGGAGTTGATGTCTATGACCAGGATGTATTGGAGCAAGGAGTTCTCCAGCAAGTAGATAATGCAATTAACGAAGCTAATAAAGCAGCAAAAAGAGCTGATGCAGAGAAGGAATATCAGTCAGTGCTGGATGACATCAGGTAAATTGTGTCCGTCCTTTACTGTCCCTTTCTGTTGCTCACTATCTAATGAGACTTGGTGTCTCGTGTTTTTAAATGCTGGAAGATGAAAAGATGTTTTGGAAGCACTGGAGCACACGGACTCTTCTGAGTCACCCACCTTTTTTAAAAAGAGAAAATATTTTTCACATCAGAGCGATGCTTCATTGCTCTTATTTGATAAATTCAGCCATGCATCGAGGCAGTAGAGGAGAGCACATCTCCTTTCTCTGCTTTGTCTCCTGCCTCACCGAGCTGTGTGTCTGCTTTCTGGGCAGTGGAGAACTGTGTCATACTCTGTTCTTCAAAGTTATAGTCAGAAAAATTGCCAATTCTGTGTGCTTCTGGGTTATCTGCTCCTGGTTACCTGCCTTCTGTAACTTGGGTGACTCCATACCACAAGCAGACTACGACCAAAAACCTTATCACTATGTGATGTACTTAATGACACCTTAAAAGAATCTAATTGCTTAATCAACAGGATATATTGATAGTAGAAGACTTTGAGGGATAGGAGCCACTGATCTCTTGAGTTTTGGTCTTGGATCTCCCGTTCTGTTTGCGGTCTCATTGTAGAGTTACTGTGTGAGCTGCTGCAGGTGAAAATTACTACCTGTGTGTCTTTAGCTGCAGTAATGTTGGTTTTTAGTGCTCAAGTGTTCTGTAGGCCTCAGTCACTGATGGGAACTCCTGCATAGCTCTCTTCTTATGGGTGTGCTTCATTTTATGCACTTCATTAATTTTCCAGTTTGGGTGTGGAGGTGTGAAACCGAGTAAATTTGCGAAACTGGAACCTGATTTCAGATGGTATGTAGCAGAGGGACGTCATAAGTAACATGGTCCTTGAGAGGAAGAACGGAGCAGCGTAACCATCACAATTAGATTCTGCAGTTAATGAGGAAGTGGTGCACAGCACTGGCAATTACTTGATACTTTCCTCTCATTCTTTAAGAAGCCTCCTGTGATTTTTCTTCCCGCTCTATTTTCACCTTCCATTTCAAGTTGTGAAATGAGATTTATGTGAGGGGTGTACGACTGGTTTCTGCAGACCTGCAGAGCCTCTTCTCTGTAACGGGTGATGTACAAGTCTGAAAGTTGATTTTGGAGGCGAATTAGCAGAGATGCAGCTGGCTTCTTGAGCAGAGGGACTAACACACATAGAGATGTACAAGTGGAGCCTTGGTTAAAGTCCTGTAACACAGTGATTGCGAAATTAGCAGAGATACAGCTGGCTTCTTGAGCAGAGGGGCTAACACACGTAGAGTAGAGCCTTGGTTAAAGTCCTGTAACACAGTGATTGCGTAACTAGAGGTAAAGTTGGGCAAGAAGTGGGTTTTGAGTAGTTGGCACAGAGTTCTCTGATAGAAGCTCCTGGGAGAACATGGTAAAATCCAGATGAGAGCTGGAGAGAAGCATGCCCCAACAATTTCCTCCCTGACAGTTGCAGAGACTTTAGTAGTGCTTCTCTTTGCACGTGAGGTGAATAACACACTTTGTGGGTGTTGTAATTTGACCTTGTTTCATCATGTCAAAGTGCAGTGTGTGTATCCTTCTGACATTCTGCTGATTGAATCAACACAGCTGGATTTATTGCTTCTGACACCGGGGCACTGCCTCCTTTCTTGCAAACAAATTCAGCAGCAGAAACAGATGGTATTGGGTTATAGGATGTGGTTTAACCTGAATTTCATATTCCTGGATACAGGAAAAATGCTATTGGAGGAGGAAGGAATGTTTAATGTTGATGTGCTGTTGATTCTTTGAGCTAGTCTGTCTTCCTGAAACTGTATTTTTATTTTATAATCTGTTCTTTGTGTAAAAGAGACATTGTAAAGGGAAAAGAAATAGACTTCCTTATAAATAGGCTTCCTTATATAATGACATCAAACTACTAAGAGTTTTGGAAAACGAAAACGTGGGATTTCCTGTTTAGATTTTTGTTTTGCATTTTGTTTACCTTGAATAATACAAGCAACCACTATCACTTGCTTATAATTATCATCAGACTTGTAACTTTTGAGGACTAAATATTGCAGTGGTTTGTTCAGTTTCCTTGCTTCTGGAATTTTAGTATTAGCAAAATATTGTTAAAAAATATTTCATGAAGCACAACTTTTAAAAATGTTTAATATTTCCAATGTTGTTTAAGTAAGAGATTCTTACTTAGAAACTTACCTTTAGACCTTTTTCAATCTTACCTTAAATCTTCTGGGATCTCTAAATTGTCTGAGTCAAGATTTACTATTTTTCTTTCTGGAGTTAACCAGTACATCGCAATCTTCTTGTTATTTTTCAGGTCATGTACAACATCTCTGAAACAAATAGATAAAATTATTGAGCAACTTTCACCTCAAGCTGCTGACAACAAAGATATAAACAGAAAACTCGATTCTGTAAAACGGCAAAAATATAACAAGGTGATGGGATTACATTCATTTCCTGCTGACAATACTTAACTTGTACTTTGGCTTAAGGTTTGGATTATGTGATATAATTCTTGCTTAATTATAAACTTCAGAGTCAGTTTATGATTGATTTTCCCTTCCCTTTTCAGTGGTTTAATTTTCTACCAAAAATGTAAATAATCAAGTTAAAGATGAGAGAGTGAGAGCTGAATTATATTTTTATTTGATTTTATTCAAACTTCCAGGACCTGCTCAGAAGCCTGATTTGCGTTACTTTAATTAAATCCCTCCCAGAAGTGTTTTGAGAATTAGCAGGGTGTTGTTAGGGCATGACTCAAGAGTGGACCTAAATCTCAGCTCTCGTGGTCTTCATTCCTTCCTTTCCTTAATCCTCTTCCATGGGCTGTATCTTCCTTGTGCCTGTGCCCATCATTCCTTCCCGTGTAGCACTCACATCCGATGGAAATTCACCTTCATATTTTCTCTAATGATAAACCTGACCAAAAAAACCTCCTGTCCTTTGCCCTCAGCTGCTTCTTCCCCATCTCGGGCCCTTTGCCACGGACTCGTTCAGTTGTTTGGTTTTTAACCTTGATGGTTTATAATCAAGTTAAAGATGAGAGAGTGAGAGCTGAATTATATTTTTATTTGATTTTATTCAAACTTCCAGGACCTGCTCAGAAGCCTGATTTGCGTTACTTTAATTAAATCCCTCCCAGAAGTGTTTTGAGAATTAGCAGGGTGTTGTTAGGGCATGACTCAAGAGTGGACCTAAATCTCAGCTCTCGTGGTCTTCATTCCTTCCTTTCCTTAATCCTCTTCCATGGGCTGTATCTTCCTTGTGCCTGTGCCCATCATTCCTTCCCGTGTAGCACTCACATCCGATGGAAATTCACCTTCATATTTTCTCTAATGATAAACCTGACCAAAAAAACCTCCTGTCCTTTGCCCTCAGCTGCTTCTTCCCCATCTCGGGCCCTTTGCCACGGACTCGTTCAGTTGTTTGGTTTTTAACCTTGATGGTTTCAGCAATTTGGATAATGCTGTGTTCACTGTTTGGCTAATTAAGAGGGTGGGGGGGGGCAGCACTGACCAGTGGCACGGGACTAGGGATAAGGAGCTGGAAATATTGAGAAGAAATGAGTTAAATCAGACTTACCACTGAAGAGTCATCATTGGACACTGTATTTTTCCTGTTTTCATGTTACTTGAAGTTATTTATGCAGGTGTTACTTGCAGGGGAAGTTCAAACATCGTTGCAAATTCGTTGTTAGCCGTCTGTAACGGTCCTCAAAATGCAACAATAAATCCCTGTAGGCAAACTATAATCTGTAAAAGTTGTCCCAATAACCTCAGGAGCCTTCTGGAGGTTGGTTGGGAGCAGGCAGTGTATTTAAAGCTGGTTTTGAGCTACTTCTTGCTTGGAGAAGTGCCTTTTAGTACTCTTCCTTTTATAGCATTTTAAAAAAAAAATGAAGACGACTGAATTCTTCTGTGACTGAGACAAATGGGAAGTTAATGAGTGGTACAAGGCAGCTAGTTCCTTAGAGCTGTCACACAGGGAGTGTTTTATGATATAAAGTACTCCAGTGGTGAGGATAATAGTGCATACAGGGGAGATAATAGATTGTACCATACAATAATATACTTGCCCTGTTCTTCACCAAAAAGAAAAACAAATTAGTATGATGGACTGACTTAGTTTCAGTTCCTTTGTAACAAAACAGTCCAAAACTTCTGGGATGATAAGTAAATCTTATTAAATCTTACAGCTGTTTTCAGTGGCTTATTAACCATTAACCCAGCCTTGCAAATCATGAACAAATCTTCTGGTGGTTTCTGTGCACATCACTAATGTGCTTGTGGGCTTCCTTTGCTAGAATCAGCACCTTTTGAGGTCATTTGATGAATGTGCCCATAAAAATGCATCATTTGCTTGTGAAATTTGTGTGTATAAACAATCTGGTCTTACTGTACACGTATCGTAAGGTGATTGTACACACAAGATTGTGTATCTCCTGTGGGCTGGAGTCCTGCAGATACTGTGGTGACCCTTTTTTTGCACCTTTTTTCGTTTCAAATGCTGTACTGTGAACATTTGAATGTGAGATTCTGGCGAAAAATGCTGCAAATATAGTCATTCAAGTCTTGTTTAAAAGGAGAGCGAGTTTATGAACCGGTTTAAAAATTCAATTATGTATCTACTTGTCATTCAAGGAGCAACAACTGAAGAAGATCAAAGCGAAACAAAAGCGTCTGCAAGCAATTCTTGGCGGAACGGAGATTCTTGATAGAGTAAACGAGATTGAATTTGAGGACAATGAAGGTATGGGAGAAAGCTGAAAGTTCTCTTTTACTTTGATGTAATGCTTTTTTTTTTTCTTTTTTGTTGGAAGCTACTTTGCAGGATCTTTGCCAACAAGGAAATAAATTTCCGTGGTTTGCTTTCCAAGCGAGAGTTAAGAACGCTTATTCTCTGCACCTGCAGAATTGGCATATTCATGTGGGAAGTTTTAAAAAATGGCTGTTAATCCACGTTCAGCTCAGTAGGGATGGCTGAGGCACATTAGAGTATTGGGCTTAATAAATTGGAAATCCTAACATTTTTTTTCCCAGCTAATTTGATAAAGATGACTAACATCATGATTGAATTACATTTTCTATGCTGGATGCTATCAATCAGCATTAACAAAATTGGTTTTTCTTACTGTTGGGAAGTATCAGTAGAAATGGAAGGGGGAAGTGCTTCTCTTTTTCAGGCTGCACTATGATTTTAAAAAATAAAAATAAGGTTTTTTTCAAAGGCAGGATATTTGTTCTCTTGGTGTTTCACTGGGCATTCTTTCTCGCTGCTGTCTGCAAACCAAGCTTGGATTTTGTCACTGCAGCCTGGCAGGACAAGGAATTGCCCTTCAGCTTCCTGAATTCAGGAGCTTTTCCACCTCTTTGGTTTCAAACACCAATTATAGTTTGTGTTAATGTGTGTAATAACTGTGTATGCAGTTGAACTGCATGTGCTCTTTTCTGGCAATGTGCTGTGCAGCCAATCTGACTTTCAAAGTCCTAATCATAATTAGTATTGTAGAGCATGAAGATGGGGATTGTCAGATTTCAAGCTTGTGAGTAGGACTGCAAGGATTGTTTTCTTTTTTTATTTTTTTTTTTAAGTATGTGGGAAGACAGTCTTTTGTGTGTTTTGTAAGTTCTGTGTCTGTCCTGGATGGTAATAGAAACGTCAGATTTCAAGCTTGTGAGTAGGACTGCAAAAATCAATAACAAAATAGAAATGGACTGTGTTACTTTCCAAAGCAGTGATTTCTTGCACTGAACGTGGTGGCCTGGGTTGAACTGAGTATATGGAGCATGTTACAGTCTCCCAGGGCACATGAACTCTCATTTTTTGGTGGTTCTTGCTGCTGTGTGTTGTTTCAGAAGTATTTGAGTTGTGATAGTACGTGCAATGTTTCCTATCTGAAGTTTGAGAAGTAAAAGTTTGAAGTAAAAGTTACCATCTGACTTTTTCAACCTTCTGTGTGTTGTGTTTTGCATTATTTAAGCTTCAAATATGGGTGACGATAATTTGAACTTCTAAATTGTACATAAAAACTGACCTGAATGCGTATAAATCTGGGAGGGGGCGGGAGGGAGGAACCAAACCACCCTTGTTCCTGTGTTTGAATTATTCAGGAGGTGTTAAAAACATGCTGGATGTCCTGTTTCTCTTGCAGAACCCGGTCCATCGTGTCTCGGGAGCATGCTTATGCCTGCTCAGGAAACGGAGTGGGACGAGCTCATTCGCACTGGCCAGATGACCCCGTTTGGAACTAAAATACCTCAGAAGCCAGAGAGGAAGCCAAGACGGTTGATGCTAAATGAAGCCTCTGATTTTGAGAAGTACTTAGCGGACCAAGATAAGCTGTTATCTGAAAGAAAGAAGTTAGCCCTTCACAAAGGAGCGAAAAAGAAGGCACAAGCCAAAAACGCTCAGTGCGGAGCTTCCGTGTCCCCTGCGAAGGAAAAAAGGGCCAAAACCCTGACAAAAACCCTGACAAAAACAGATAAGCGCTTACGAAAACACCTGAGGAAACTTCAGAAGCACGCCCTCCTGATCCAGCCAAAGGCAGAGATTCCAAAACAGAAGAAATACCCCGAGGCCAAGAAGCTCAAGCGTGACGAGGATGAGAGCGGAGAGTCCGAGTACGTACCTGACGAGGAGCTCTTTGATCCAGAAGCAGCGGAAGAGGAGGAAGAGCAGGTGTCTTCTCCTGCTGAGAATGATTCCGATTATGAACTCAAGAACCTGTCAAGAAAAAGAAAATATTCGGCGAAGAGAGATTGTAAAGAAGGTGTGGATGATGCTGACTACTTCCCCAGCTCGGAGGAAGAGGAGTACACACTGGGGAAGCGCAAAGTGAAGAGGTGGAGAGATGATGGAGATGAAGATTATTATAAACAGAGATTAAGGTTAGTCCTAGACATTTTTATTAGTAACATGAACAAATCCTGTTGAACACGTGAAGGGCAATGTGTGTGATACACCCCCGGGAACTGAAGTGAGGAAAATCAGACAGAATGGTCTTAGCTTTCCAAAAGAAATCAGATGTACCTCATAATTACAAGGACTTTACTGTTGTTTTTTTTTCTGATTGTTGTAGATCCTTGAATAATATCGGGGTGTGTGTTGTTTTCAGAACTGGGAGCATGTCCAGGATGGAGTATCTATAAAACAACATATTACTGGGCAGCTTTTATACTTAAGCACTGGCTTTGTCTCTAGATAATACACCTACCTTTCAAGGAAAAAAAAAAAAGGATGGCACTTTTCCCCCAAGAGAGAAATCTTTCGTTTGAGATGGAGTGAGATGCTTAGTTTTTGGCTTTAAATAATTAACTGCCAGTCAAGACAAAATCATTTGAATAAATTATAGTTACTTACTATTTTTGTAGAGTTTGTTAAATCCGAGGCAATTACATTTAGTTTCTATGGCTAACAGTTTTCTTTGAAAAACATTATTAAGAGGATCTTTTGAATTTAAACTTGTAGAAAGATATACTGGAAATGACAATATCTATATTATTTGATTATTAGCATATGATACTTCTGTCCTCTAATATGTTACACAAGAGGTAATGAAGACCGGACATTTATACTGCTGTTGGTCAAGTCTAAAAAGAGCTGCTCTGTCTGACAGTGATTTTTGTCTCTTTGGTCTTGATGAGAGTGAAGGTAAAAACCTCCTTGTCGAAAGAGATATTGACAGTGGTGGTTTCTGTTGCTGTGATGACCTACGGTTGTCACTGAGGAAGGTTTCTCAGGGAGGAAAATACAGCTGAGAACACAAGTTATTTTTGAAAGCAGCAGCTGAAGCACCTTGTGCTGATCTGTGACTTATGAAATTTGTATCACCTGGGCAGTGCTGAGCTCTCTGTCGCTGCAGCGTGCTCCTGAGAGGTTTGCTCTGCTGCTGGCATAGCTCTTGAGTGACTAAAAATAAGACTGAGTGATATTTCCATTTTCACAACTTCCTGGAAAACATGTTGAAGGGGCAAGGAAGTGACATGTAGTTTGTTAACCTCTTAACATGGGAACTAGACATGCCAGTGAGTTTAAGAGTTGTTTTTACACATAGTGGGAGTCAAAAGGTGAAGATCATGGAAATGGCTGTTTTGTTTTAGTTGTTCTCTAACCACTGGCGTGTTGCCCCTTCAAGGGTTGAGCTTCATATAATGAACTTGAGCTTGTTGATAGCTCTGCTTACTTCTAATTAATTCGCCTTTAGTGAATGTCCTCCAGAAAGTCAAACTGGAATCAGTTTGAAAACAGCTGCTCCAGAGTGAAAGGAAGATGCCAGTGAGTTTAAGAGTTGTTTTTACACATAGTGGGAGTCAAAAGGTGAAGATCATGGAAATGGCTGTTTTGTTTTAGTTGTTCTCTAACCACTGGCGTGTTGCCCCTTCAAGGGTTGAGCTTCATATAATGAACTTGAGCTTGTTGATAGCTCTGCTTACTTCTAATTAATTCGCCTTTAGTGAATGTCCTCCAGAAAGTCATGGATTCCAGCTTGAAAACAGCTGCTCCAGAGTGAAAGGAAGAGTGTATATTAGAGCTGTAGGTTAAGGGTGATTGATACAGTGATAAGGAGACACTGGGAACAGCAAAGGAACTTGATTAGTGCTTGGGAGGCTCGAATTTTACACTTTTATGGAAATATAAAATCTTCCAGACTTAAGTGAAGCTGTGTCAGAGAAGGGGGTCAAGAAGTCAAGGTGTAAACACCACGTCTCCCTGCGGTGAGAGGCTGGGTTGCTGTGGTGGAAGAGGGGTCTCCTAAAAGCAGAGGGACTCCCAGTTGTAGAATTGCTGGTACCAAAACCTCAGGGAGGAAGAGCCCAAATTTGCTTTCACATCCCGGGTCACAAAGGCGGATCAGAAGCAGTAGGTTTGCAATTCCAGGGTGCTACTTCTCAAAGTTAAAGCTTGTTTTATTGCCCTTGAATAGAAAATCTCATCAAGAGGCTTAATCTGAGCGATGTCCAAAGGGTCACCAAGAAAGATGTTTTTTTTTTTAATTGGCTGCATTAACAAAAAATAATTGTACTTAATTGGTAAAATATTTACTGTGTTACTGACTAAAACCGTACTCTTCGCATTTGAATTAGACCAATATTAAATCATTTTTAATTCAGTGTTTTCATCAAGAGTAATTTATTTTGATTGAAAGTTTTAATATGACTCACAGTTTAAATTCGTTCAAACTCGTTTTTTAATAACGTTAAGATTGTGACAATTTATCCTTAGCAAAGTCATATCGTAGACTACATTTCTTTTTTGGTTACTAAAGTTACAATAAAAGCCTAAATGAATTTTAGAAATATCAATAACTGTAATTGCTACCAAAACACTACATCTCTTAAAAATTTCATAGCTGCAGTTATTGTGGCTGTTAAGCTGCAGCTGTCCACACTGAGGGCTTTATGCTGACACCCCCAGGTAATCTTCATTATGGGGAACGCCAGGAGAAAATAAAATGTGGCGAATTAAGAAACATATTAAGAATGCTATAGAAATGCTGTCATTTGCTTACATTTATGTCTTGTTTGGTGTCAGTTTTACTTTTGAATGCAAACGAATGGGTGAGATTACGGTGTATTTTCCCCCTGAGAGAGGCAGGGGAAGATCCTTGTGGATTACTTTAGTTTTCTGAACATCCAGGCTTGTGCTTGGCGCCGAGCGCAGTCCTACGCTCCTAAAGAGGGAAAATGAGTTTCCTTTACATTAAAACTTTTCAGAGATGGGACTTTGAAGAGATTGGTCTGTGGCAAGGGGAAAAGACGATGATGTTGTTAAAGCAGGATAATTAGCAGGACTGCAAAGCGTCTCGAGAAGAAGAGGCTGTTTTATGGGCGTAATCTGCGGTAAACGGGGCAGGAGGGAGAGCACCCAGCTCTTTCCTTTCCTCCCAAAGACTCCTCACAGTGGTCACTCTGGTCACTTGAGGCAAGGTGTCACCAGTGGAAGGTGAAAAGGGAATTCAGCTTCTGCTCTCAGTAATTTCAGTTCTTTTACCCTTGTGTGGGTCTTACCCCTAGTAACCCCTGGTTACCGGAGCCACCTAGGCAGGGGAAAAATCTGTTCTGAAAGGGTTAAGGTCTACAGTGAATCATAACTCGCAGGAATGTTGTAGAAATGAACATCAGTGTTATGGAGAGGAAAGTAAATAAGGAGGATACCATCAAGCAGCTCAAATGTAAGATTTAGATTCAGTGAAAGTCACATATCATTGTTCCCAACCTGCCCTTCGCACTGATAATTACCAGCTGAACCCAGATGGTTGGGTAATTAGTCTCTAGGATGGTGCTCCCAAAGACTCCTCACAGTGGTCACTCTGGTCGCTTGAGGCAAGGTGTCACCAGTGGAAGGTGAAAAGGGAATTCAGCTTCTGCTCTCAGTAATTTCAGTTCTTTTACCCTTGTGTGGGTCTTGCCCCTTTCTCTAGTTACCAGAGCCACCTAGGCAGGGGAAAAATCTGTTCTGGAAAGGGTTAAGGTCCACAGTGAATCATAACTCGCAGGAATATTGTAGAAAGGAACATCAGGATTGTGGAGAGGAAGGTAAATAAGGAGGATACTATCAAGCAGCTCAAAGGTAAGGTTTAGATTCAGTGAAGTCACATATCATTGATCCCAACTATCTTTCGCACTGATAATTACCAGCTGAACCCAGATGGTTGGGTAATTAGTCTCTAGGATGGTGCTGAACACCTCAGAGGCTTGATCCCCATCACCAGGTACTCAACAGTGACCGTCGTGGTCCAGAAGTGTTCAGAATTGGGGCTGGTGGAATCTTAACCTCTTGCTTCCTGCAATGGTCAGGTCATGACAGAGCCAGTTTCTTTGAAGACTTTGGAATGAATGAAAAAGTACCTCTTTTCAGCTTCTTTTACCTGGGAGCAGGAAATAAAAGTAACCTTGTTTACAGATTAAATGCGTAGGAAAGAAACCTTTTCTATGTTCTCAACATGAAACCTGTTGAATGGTTTTCTTGTCTTATTCTCAAGACTTTACAGATGTGGAAACTGCAATTTATCAGTATTTTTTTTTGGCATATTAATCAAAGTTTTCCTTTGCATGTATTAAATTGTAAAGCATAAGTCTAACCAGGTAGTTTTTGCTGCTTATAGTATATGTAGTTAATGTTTTAGATTATTGACACTGCTAATATGGTATCTGCATAAATTAAGAGCTTGAAGTCAAAACCAAACAAAATTAGCGGTCTTATGGCCATTATTCCCATTGCAGTTGTCAGTATGTATTTCCCTGCTGCTTCAAGGAAGGAAATACACATTGCTTTATGGGAGATAAGTGCCATATTGATGTTTTCTTGTATATTCTGTATAGTTTCTGGAGTACTGTTTGAATTCTTCCAGTGCTCAGAGGCCAGGCTGGGAAAGCTGCTTCTTTCCACGTGTCCCAAGCGGCACCCAAGCAGCTGAGGAGCTGGGAGTTGGGGCTATCGGTGCACAAAGCAGTTGATAGAAACAATCAACCCCCCAAAAATAAAACCTGCTTAAAAAGAAGTTGTTTTTCTCAGATCAGTTTTCATGTGCTTGCTCTCTTGGAAGCATCTGAGTCACTGAATCCCTTGACGTTTCAGACTTATAAATTAAAACAGGATTAAATATTACCTTTCCTGAAAGATACTTTCTTAGAGCATCCTAACTGCTCTTTAAAATGACAAAGCCGAGACACAAATGAAGATATATTTTGGCTTGCTCGCTGAGTACACCTTTCATTCGAAGCTCAAGTGTGTAATTGTCTCCATCAGTCTTAATTTACTTACGGCGAGTTGTGGTACTAACTGTGTGTATTTCATCTGGTAGGACGTACCAATTAAACCCACCCATATAGCCCATAAAAAGTTAGATCCAAAAAGTAATGCTGAATGCTTCAATTTAGCAAATTAGAATAATCTGTAAGGGATTCTGAGCTGTCTAAAATATAAAACGTATTGTGCTTCACAAATGCAAACTATATTAAACACTCAGCTTGGTTCCTGCTTGCATTTTTTTAACCAAAAAAAAAAAAGTCAAATTGCGCTCATTACTGTTTGGGATGGAGAATTTCTTTCTAGGGGATTGCAATAAGTGGGAAATGGGCTTAGTATCGGAATACATCCTTATATTCAGAAAGATTTAATTGTGTGATATATGGCTTTCATACTGCACTTTCCAGGATTGAATTGTATTTTTGTCGGTGGCCATGGACAAGATAAAAGAGATTACTCAAAGGTCATGCTTTGATTTTCAAGAGACCTTGGTGATACAGTAAAACCTATATTTTCTGATTGTTGAGGTGCACTAATGACGTTTAGTTGAGATGCAGAAGGACTATATTGACCAAATGGTTAGTGAAGTCAAACATGAGCTGTTTCTCCCTCCAAAGTTTGATTTCTGGGGAAATCAGAATTCTAAGACGAGACTGAAGAACTGGCTCCTGTGGAGGAGCAAATAGTGTTTGTCCTCCTGCTGCTTCAGCCAGTTAGATATTTAATCTTTTTTTAAATGAAAATAATGACATTTTAGTGTAGAATGTCTTATTGCAACGTCTTACATGAACTTCACAGCCTTTCAAAACCTGGATAGCTTCTTCAAACTTTGAAAGTTTTTAGGGGTAACAGCAAATTGCTGCTTTTTCTTTAAACTGAGGGCAAAAGAGGGCAATTTCTTTAAATCGAGGGCAAAAAGCCCTCCAGACCTTTGAAGGAGATGTAACACCAGAACCTTCAGGACTACAGCTGGTGTAAGGATGCATTTCAGTAAAGTAACAGATAAAGTGTGTGTAAAATGAAGTTTTCTTTAGGAAAACTAAGCATGGGATTTATTAGTTCGAGTTCTAGATATAGGTGTTTTCTAGGCATCTAATAATTTCAAGAGAAATCCCAACATTTAATCACACTTCTGGCAGGAAAATTGTAGTAATTCTATTAAGGGGAAGTGCCCAAATTCCTGGAGAGCTACAAAATAATCAGAAATGTTTCTTCTTGGTTGTTTCTGGACCACTTTTTCTGCTGTACACTAGAGGGCAAGCTGCTGCTTCCCAGGGGAGACTGGAGCTCCGGTTTGGTTTGGGGTCATTTCCAGTGGAATTTAGAATTAGAAGGCAAGCCTTGTCCAGATTATTGCCCTGCTTTGAGTTGGATAGGGATGAGTTACCTGCTATTCCAGCAAAACCCAAAGTGCAGGTGCAGTGCGATGGGTTAGTGCATCCCCCTACGCTCTGCTGTTACAGGTGGGTGGGTTTTGGGTCACTGAAACCCAAGTCCAGAGTTTCTTTGGGTGTTGAAAATCCTTCCGTGCTTTTTCAAAAGAGGGGGAGAACCACGAGGAGGGGAAGGACAATTCTCTAACCTGCCTGGAGTCCAAATAAGATCACAAATAAAGAGTACAAATCACTCTGTAATTTTATAACCTCCAAAACCTCAATTGCCTTAATAACGACTGATAATAGATTTAGAGCATGTCACCCCAAAGACGGTGACGTTTCCAGCAGAGTCCTCTGTGTAAGATCATACACCGTTGCACATTCCTCTAGGTGAAGGAAGTTATTTAAGTATTTGGTTAAATTAATAAAATTGCTTTGGAATACCTAAGCTCTGATATTTTTTTTTGTGTGTGTTTTTTTTTTAATGGAGATCTAGAATTGAAAGTAGCCAGGTTTTTATGATGATGTTGACTGTTGATTCCATTGAATTAGTTTTTCTGTCTACAGAAAATTTTGATTATTTTTTTGTGTTTTTTTTTTAATGGAGGTTTAGAATTGAAAGTAGGCAGGTTTTTTTTGATGATGTTGACTGTTGATCCAATTGAATTAGTTTTTCTGTCTACAGAAAATTGTAGCTAACTATACTATTGCTAATCTGATTGGCTATACTGTTATTATGCTATTAGCTATACTAATGCCAAAAGGTTACTATTTAAATCATGACATCGAAGAATGCCTTTTTATTGGACCTGGAAAATTCAGTGTAGTTTTCATACAGTATCTTTTTTATGCCATAATCAAATCTTGACTCCTTGTGTCTCTCTAGGAGGTGGCAAAAAGAACGTTTGAAGGACAAAGAACATCAAACAGCTGAGGAACTTTCTGAAGAAAGTGACACTGAATTTGACGAGGGTTTCAAAGTACCGGGATTTCTCTTTAAAAAGCTTTTTAAGTATGTATTGTATACTTTATTATTTTATTGTGATGCTCTATAATGTTAATAATCGTAGTAGGAGGAGTCATGGTGATTTCTGGATGCCCTTTGCTGGAACTTTTAATTCAGTGAATGATGCCTTAATCCTACAGAAACAACTGAAGTAGAAGTTATTTCATTAAAATAAGGCTCCAGGATCAAACCTCAAAGAAACCAATTTATTACAAGCACAAAATGTAGTTCCATGAAAATAATGATGAAAACTGGCTGATGTGAATCTTGTGAATGCATATTAGCTAAGCTACAAACGGAGGAGCTCTCCTTGTCTATTTTTATAAATACTTTCTTTTATTGATAAATGCTTTCTTTTAATTCAAGTGTGGAGCAGTAGAATAACTTTGAAGACCGAGCTGTTAGCAAGTTGTGATAACTGGAAACAAGAAATGTAGGTGTTTCTGTGACTGGGGGGAGTGAGGGAAATTATCTGCCAACAAAAAATATAGACGACTTTTTCTTTAAATAACTACTCAAAGTAACTACTTACAAGTCATATTATAAAATAGTCTTGAACATTTTGCCCAGTAAAATTTTAAAATATGAAGAGTGTGTTCCTAATTCCTTTAGTAGATGGAAAAGACTCTACAATTCATCCTTTAGTCACTTCATGCTGGGTTACAGATTTAGATGTCACTGCTCTCTGTTTCGGTTTTTTGAGACACTGGTGCCCAGTGATACTTTAAAATTCATCTCAAAAAGCTCTTTATAAAGGGCAGCCCAAACAAGCTGGCAGCTGCTGAGTTCACTTCATCCATAATATCCCCCTTAACTTTCATCCATAATAGCCTCAAATTTGATTTTGTTGGCAACGTTTTGCACAGCAGGAAAAAAGCATTTTCTCTTTCCCAAGCTAACTCTCTCAAATCTCCCAATGAGTGTAGCCGAAAGCTCTGGTTTATAGTGGGTGTGCGTGGTATCCCTTCCAACAGGACCACTTAGTCTTAACCTCAGAGAAATGATGGCTGTTGTCCTGCACTTGCTTGAGAAGGAAAGCACAAGCTCTGAAATGGGAATGAATTAATGACTCTGTTGCCAATATGTGGTCTCCAGTTGTTTATGCAAAGGTACTGCCCAAGTAATCATCCTGAGAAGGGATGTGCGGGCTGAGCAACCCCAAGGGAAGTGAAGTAAAGCAAGACAACTAAAAATTAATCTTAGAGATATCAGCCTTGCTAATGAAGGGTATCCCTGTGAACATGAGTCAGTTGGCAAAACTTCCTAAGTGGTTAGAAAGATCAATGGTGTTGAACGATTTGTCTGACTTAAATGCTGAAACCTCCGATGTAGGAAGGCCCAGAGTCAATAGGCATTAAACTTGGAGTTCTCAGCAAGCTGAGTACCAAACGTGGAGGTCTATTGACCCAAGGAGGTATCCTCTAAGTGATCTTCCTCCATAGTTGAATTGAATTCTGAAAGAGTTAGCTCATACTAGAAATAGCAGACCCTCCTTTGGTAAGCCTGGTAAAGTGGACTATCTGATTCTTAGAGAATCATGGGATGGTTCAGGTTGGAAGGGCCCTTAAAGACCATCCAGTTCCACCCCCTGCCCTGGGCAGGGACCCCTCCCACCAGACCAGGTTGCTCCAAGCCCCATCCAGCCTGGCCTTGAACCCCTCCAGGGATGGGGCAGCCACAGCTTCTCTGGGCAACCTGTTCCAGGGTCTCACCACCCTCACAGCAAAGAATTTCTTCCCGAGATCTTGTCTAAATTTTCCCTTTTTCACTTTAAAACCGTTTCCCCTCGTCCTATGGCTCCCCTCCCTGATCAAGAGTCCCTCCCCATCTCTCTGTAGGCTCCCTGAATACTTCTTCCATATATACCTGGTTTCTTCTTCATTTGCTTTCAGTGTGTGATTTCCCTGATACCTCTGAAATGCAGTTTTTGTCTTGGCAACAATGCAGTCTAAACTCTGCTAAAATTCCCTCCTGTGCTGCATGTCGAGGGGTGCATCGCAGCACGATTGCTTGGGTGAAGTATGGCCCAAACACAACTATTTTTGAAGATCAGGCAACATTTTTATCATTTATTATTATACTTCTACAGAAGTTTTGGAGTAAAAAAAACCCCAAAATATTAAAATTGATGCAATAAAACCATAATATTAAAGAAAATTGATTATCTCTCCATACAACCATAAAAAATGATGGGGGGAAGAGTTGACTTTAACTCTTGCACAATTGCAATTATTGCGTGTTTATATGATTATGCAAAGAAAGCACCTCCATCTTTTCCATTTTTGAGATAACCTTGGAGCGGAATTTTTTACAAACTTAATTCTGGACTCTGAAGCTTCCGGGGGAGAAGGGGGAGAGGGAGAAAGATGCTTGTAAATGCAGCTGGCTTAAAAGCACTGGATGCAATCCTGAGAAATAATACAAAATAACATCAGGAAGCTCTTGGATGGTCGTCTGCTGAAGAGACGTGCTGGACATTAGTCTGGGGGAGCAGCTTCTGACTGGAATTAGAGTTCTCCAGTTCTTTAATATTTCCCTCGGAAAAATGTTTTGTCTTCATGAAATGTAGGAACGGTGGCGTCTTAACCCAATTATAGCTCATCCTGCCAGCCCTTTCATAGTTGTTTTGAGACTGCGGCGTTTTTAAGGTGAATTAATTTCTAATAAAAGGGTCGTCTTCTTTTTTTTTTTTTTTCCTTTAAGGGCTCGTTGGTGTAATGCATTTGAGACACCAGCAGGTCGTGTGATGTCTGACCCATTAGATGTGTTCTTTGATCATCTTTTTCTGACTGCTCCAGCCATTTGTTCGTCTCCGTTTCGTGTTCTTTAAATCCATACAGAACTCATCATAAATTGATTTTTAATAGTACTTAGTAAGCACTAGTGTCATTAGCTGTCAGCAGTCCTAAATATTATTTGTTCAGAGTGAAGCAGGATTTTGAAATGCACACAAGAAAATGACTTAAAATGAACAATCCCTATTTAAAAAATAACGTGGTTTTCTCTTTGCTGTGCTCTGCGCTCCAGGAATCCGCGCCATCAAGAAAATCTTACCAGTAACCTTATTCTTCCACTTAAGTTATAAGATGCAGAAGTGCTGAAATGTGTATTTTAGTTTATTTTTAACTGTTAAATATGCTGTTTCTTCATTTCTTTTTGCCCTGTTTTCAATGTATAACCCGTACACATGGTGTGTTATTCCTACTTGTCTCATTATTTCATATCGTTATAAAAAAGCATGTCCTAAAGTGATACTCAGCATCATAGTTCCACCTTTTTGGCTTCCCATTGTAAGTCTTGCTTTCCAGTCTGTTTCTTTTAACTGGAACTTGGTTTATATTGTTGTTTATACAAGTCCCAGTGGGTGACTGGGACTGAAACTGCCCTGATGCTCTTACCTGATGATGCTCCACTGCATCCCCTTTGCTGGAATTGTTTCTTTTGTTTTGCCTTCTAGAATATTTTGCCTTTCTGGCTTTTTTTGATTCGTTGGAAGAGATTAAATGTTCTTAAATGAATTTTGCCTTCAAAAAGCATGCTTTGGCATATCTGATGGGTTTTCCCAGGGGAGTACAAAGTCTCTACCCCTTACAAGTCAAATTTTCCCTTCAGTTCAAAGTATACGTTCCAAATAAATAGAATTTGCTGCATCCTTATATGTCATCTTCTCCCAGTGGGTGACTGGGACTGAAACTGCCCTGATGCTCTTACCTGATGATGCTCCACTGCATCCCCTTTGCTGGAATTGTTTCTTTTGTTTTGCCTTCTAGAATATTTTGCCTTTCTGGCTTTTTTTGATTCGTTGGAAGAGATTAAATGTTCTTAAATGAATTTTGCCTTCAAAAAGCATGCTTTGGCATATCTGATGGGTTTTCCCAGGGGAGTACAAAGTCTCTACCCCTTACAAGTCAAATTTTCCCTTCAGTTCAAAGTATACGTTCCAAATAAATAGAATTTGCTGCATCCTTATATGTCATCTTCTCTGAAAAGATAATGCTTTGTTAGAGTGGTTGCTTTTAACACTGAAAATATACATGGAATAAAATACCCTCTAATTTCTGAAAAGATAATGCTTTGTTAGAGTAACACTTAAAATATACATGGAATAAAATACCCTCTAATTACCATGACTATCAGTTTAATTAGAAATGTTTTAGCGTTGCATAAAGAAGGAAAGTTGCACGTCGTGTCTGAGCCCATCAAAAATGCATGACCTGGTAAATACAGCGCTGGTGTAAAACACACATCCAGCACGTTACTCTAACGAGGGTGAGAACCTAAAATGATTAATTGATGAGTACTTTCTGTTATGATTATCAAGCGTTTGCCATCTTCTTCATTTTTTTTTATTTTTTTTTTCCCCTCGTAGGTACCAGCAGACAGGTGTTAGGTGGCTCTGGGAATTGCACTGCCAGCAGGCGGGAGGAATCCTGGGAGATGAGATGGGATTGGGCAAAACCATCCAGATAATTGCCTTTTTGGCAGGTCTGAGCTACAGCAAGATCAGGACTCGCGGTTCAAATTACAGGCAAGTGCTTTCTCCGCAGACTGTCAGTCTGTGGAGCTCAATTAATATTTCATCAGCTGTATTGCTGGTGGAGGAGGGTCCTGTGAATTATTAATGACATTTCAATTACAATATTCCTTTAATTCTTTTAGTGGGGGACATCAAAGGAAAAATTTTACGAGACAATGGAGCTGTAGGGCAGGAAAAATTAAACATGTAACACTTTTAATGAATTCCAGGCATCGATGCTTCGTTCTGCAGATGAGCCGCGCTAGATATTTTGGGTCAATACGGTGTCTAAGGTTACCTTCCACAAATGGATTGTTTGCAAACTCAATTACATTAATATCAATAGTTTACACAATATGGAATTTTAAATTAGATGTAATACCTTTAGTTCCATTTATTAAATTTTACATTAAAATAGTTGTCCTGGCGAGCCACCAGGTAAGTGCTTTACAGGAAGCAACGGGCTGATTTGCAATGAAAGACGGAGTTTCTGATCGGCGGGGAATTATCCTTGCCAAAAAAATAGTAGTAATAGAAAAAACACTAACTTCTGCAGAGGAATTGCCATCTACTTTTTTGTCGTTGCTTTTCAAAGCCCCGTTAGCGTGACAGGCCTTTCTTATGCTCTTATGCTTTTTTGTTACGTGTGCTTTAAAATCCCTTCTTCATGGGTGAAATTACCGGAAAACATACTTGGTGGTGTCCTTGGTTCTACAAATGCAGGCGTGAATGATACTTGATTTTTCTAGTTCTGTTGGCTTGTTTACCTGATGTAAATTGCTACATGCAATTAAGCAAATATCGTAGTACTGTACTAAACAAAAATAATTAACTTTCTATATAAAGCTATATAGCTTTTACTAAAGAATATTATTTCTTAACGTCAGCAGTTTCTGAAGGCATTGACAGTGATTTTTATTTTTTTTTAAAGCAGGGTATTGCTGGTGTCTGGTAAATCCTTTATTGTTGTATGTACATGATTGTGAAGGTATAGTGTGATCTTTGGAATCGTTTATTTATTATCACTTGAATAGTACACAGTCAGCCACACACAGATCAGTATGTGATAACTGTAGCCTTTGCCTTTGTTTGCAAAGTCATTTTGTTCTGTTTTTTAAAGAGCAAATCTATTTGAAAAATAGCTACCAGTAAACACTCCATAGGATATTTCCCCTAGAATTGTTGGTATTTGTGATGGAAATATTTCTTGTCTGGCAAGAGGTTTTTCTCTTCTCAAGTTTAACACGTGGAAAGACTTTGTTTCCGATGTCCTCGGTAATTCTCAGAAACAATCAGCTGATTATGATTAAGAAACTTAGGAGATGGTTTAAGCCCAGCTCAGACCTCAGCTTCCACTGATGATCTATTCTGCTGCTTCTCCGTGAGCTGTGCTGATCAATAGCACAGTACATTACTGATGTGAAGCACAGCACCTGTGTGTAAGTCCATTTGTGACACTCCAGCTACGCATTCTTTTTAATAGAAGCAATAAAATGAGTTGTTTGTTACTGATTTCTTTTCTCTTACAGAAACAGCAGTCTCCCAGACCTGATTTGTGTTACCACAGGAGGAAGTTCCCTCATGCCTTATTGTTTGGAGCTCTTCTATTTCTGTGTTTATCTTGATAGATGTATCCATTAACCGTTCAGTGCTTAAGTTCTTGCAGCAGGACCCCTTCCATCTCCCTTTAAAAACCAGCAAAACAAAGTGCCAATTAATTTCCATAACTTGAACTATAAAGTGTGTCATTTTAATATGTGTGTATTTTAATGAGCCACTAAATAGATGGTATTTATTTCGTGTTAAATGTGGGTTTTTTCTTGAATGCTTTATTTTAGGTACCAGGGATTGGGTCCAACAGTGATTGTTTGTCCAGCTACTGTGATGCATCAGTGGGTAAAGGAACTCCACACTTGGTGGCCTCCCTTTAGAGTCGCAATTCTCCATGAAACTGGTTCTTACACAGACAAAAAGGTAATTCCAGAAGCTTCTCTTGGATTTTCTTTCCTTTTTCTTTTTTCCCTTCGCACTAGCCAAAATAAAATAAACAGTCCTGAATGTTACTGTACAAGCTTCTGTACAAGTGCAGTTTCTCCAATTGTTTTAAAAGAAAAAAAAGTTTGCTGTGCTGTCTTGATTTGTTAGAAAACTGCACAAAAAGGGGGTGACACGAAGTACATTTATATTATGATATTGACTAACGTCGCCCAAATAAATTAAACGTAGTAACAGGTTTCTCTCTTGAGAAGCCTTGCAGGAAGAAAACAAGGAAAACTTAGATTTTTGTTTTCCCTTGGCCTCGTCTTTCAGATGCTCAGATGGATCTTTCTCAGGATTCAGCAAAGCTTTTTTAAATTTCTCTTGAAATATTTATTGAATTTCTTGTAATAACATTAAAATGATATGGTGCTTAATTGCACTTGATTAAACGTATTCTGAGGTAATTGATGCAGTTACAGTACGTGGCCAAAAAGGAATAGCACACTCTAATGTGCTAATAGCTTCCTGTTCTTCAATTAACTTGGGATGTTTTCAAGCCCTAAAAATCTGTTGACCTCAATAAGGTGCTCCCATGTCTTCCTAAATTAAATTGCGTGCGCTTATTTGGGGGTATTTGTTAATTAACGCATTTGACAGACTGGCTCAAATTTTTCCATCTGCAGGAATAACCAGGTTTTCAGGGCTTCACCTTCCCTTTGTCCTCCCACAAATGCTTACTTGAGAACGTAAAATTAGGGAATTTGTATATGATATGATCGCTTTAGATCGGCTTTGTTCTCTAATTCTGCCCTAACACCCATCGTCTGAGAGCTGCGACAGCGTGCGTTAAACAAGTGCCTCTTAATCAGAGAAGAGCAAGCTTATCACTAAAGTTAAGTTCAAATAAAAAATCAAAAACAAACAAGAAAGCTCAAAATAAACCAACAAACCAACCAAAGCACCTCCATACCACATAAAATACAAGCCAGGTGATTTACTCGTGCCTAGAATTTCTTTCCAATATACGTTCTTTCTATGAATAAGTTAGTGCTGATCTGACCTTGTGGTAATTCCATCTTCTGATAGGTAACCTGGGGCATTACAGGAGGCTGCTTTTGCATGTATTAACTTTATAATACTCATCCAGGGCCCATTCTTCCCTGATGTTCTGGCATAAGGCATGAACTTAAATAAATTTAAGAGATAAATAAGAAAATTGTGGCTACGCTGCGTAAGAAGATAAAGTTGTTCTTGGATAGAGATTAATTTTACATGGCCAAAAGCTGAGTTCTTACCTGCTTTGGAGTGAGAAAAGTCACTTCATCCTCTGGGCTGGCAGAGGTTAAAATGGCCTGGGCTAGTAGAAGCACGTAATTGTCCCTCAAATTAACTCGACATCAGACAGTGAAGACCTAATGGGTTTTGAGGAATGTGTCATCCTGTAGTAGTTGACCTGGAGGTTGTTCATGGTGAAACACAATATTGCAGTATGTTCTCTGAAGGCCTGTGAAAGAGCCCTCAATTCCACTGTCTGTGTCACCAGCAAAGATGTTGAATAGCACCGGTGCCAGTACCTAAAATGGCCTGGGCTAGTAGAAGCACGTAATTGTCCCTCAAATTAACTCGACATCAGACAGTGAAGACCTAATGGGTTTTGAGGAATGTGTCATCCTGTAGTAGTTGACCTGGAGGTTGTTCATGGTGAAACACAATATTGCAGTATGTTCTCTGAAGGCCTGTGAAAGAGCCCTCAATTCCACTGTCTGTGTCACCAGCAAAGATGTTGAATAGCACCGGTGCCAGTACCTGAGGAACACCACTCATCACTGGGTTCCACTTGGTCATCGAGCTGTTGACCACAACCCTTTGGGTGCCACCATCCAAGCCAGTTCCTCATCCCCCAACTGGTCCATCGCACTGGTTTCCACTTGGTCATCGAGCCATTGACCACAACCCGTTGGGTGCCACCATCCAGCCAGTTCCTCATCCCCCAACTGGTCCATCCATCAAATCCCTGTCTCTCCCATTTAGAGACTGGGCTGTTGTGTAGGACAGCACCAAACACTTTGTACAGTCCAGGTAGATGATGTCAGTTGAAATATTTAATTGAAGTATTTTTCCTGAAGGGAGGGCAGGAAACAATTAAACGTGCCTGAATTTAATTGTGAATTGAAGAATACACAATAAAATAGCGTAAATTCTGCAATGCCACCGCTTCAAAACTGTTGTGTATCTAATAATAAATCTGTTATCGTATTTTTAAATATTTACAATTATTCCAAAAGCTGCAACTAAAGCAAAGGCAACCTCTGAGAAAGCACCCAGCGCAGTAAAATGAGTTAATAAGACCGTTGTACCAGGAGTTGATAAAACTGGTGGTGTATTTCTTCATTGTCAGCACAAATCCTTGTTTATTAAAAATTTAGCTTGAAGGAAACTTTAATTAATTACAAGTTCAGTAAATCCTGACTAGGTGTAAATTCTGCAATGCCACTGCTTCAAAACTGTTGTGTATCTAATATTAAATCTGTTATTGTATTTTTAAATATTTACAATTATTCCAAAAGCTGCAACTAAAGCAAAGGCAACCTCTGAGAAAGCACCCAGCGCAGTAAAATGAGTTAATAAGACCGTTGTACCAGGAGTTGATAAAACTGGTGGTGTATTTCTTCATTGTCAGCACAAATCCTTGTTTATTAAAAATTTAGCTTGAAGGAAACTTTAATTAATTACAAGTTCAGTAAATCCTGACTAGGATTGTGCCGTGGTGTGTTTACAGGGAATGGCCTTCATGTGCCTGTGTTTCACTTCTGTTCTCTCCGCTACCTGACAACGTGATTTATGGCTCTTGTTTTCCACTAGTCCACTGGTTGCCCTCTAGGAGGGATTGGTCTCTTGAGCCTCCATAATAACAGCAGCACTTTCACAAAACATCTTTTAATGACAACAGTGCAGTATTCTGTAAGTCGGGCTAATTGCAGACATACCCTATTAATTGCAAAAACTAGGAGAGGTTACATATTTTACAAGCTTTTAATTTGAAGTCGCCCGAGATGATTTGTCTTAAGTGTTTGGGTGGAGATGGCTACGATATTCCAGGAGAGGCCCTTGCTGACATGGTTGCAGACCGAAGGGGATGTATCAGGTGGAATTAAGCTTTGGATGTCCTAAAAATCCTCCTCTGTCCCTAACCCAAATTGTTCTAAAGATTGCGGGTTCTCTTGAGAATCGTGATGTCAACATTCAATAAAGTGTCGGGTTTTATCAGGGGGTGATAATGGGAAAGTAGAAATTCTTAAGTTAAATGCAGAATGGCTTTTTGAATGTGGGACTAAGTCTAAGCAAGAAATTCAACAATAAGAGATTATTGATTTTTAACACCATCTGGTCTTTGAGATGGATTTTTCCCTTTTGGTTTTATTGGGTTTAATTTTTTTTGTCTTAAAGGCACTTCTAGCAATAAGGGCTTTTTCTTTAGCAAATTCTGTGGTGGTTCTGCTCCTCTTTTTCTGGATGTGCTGGTTTCATCCAGAATCACCTCTCAGCCCCTCAGCTTCTCTTTCAGTCGTCTAGATTTGTATGTGGAGGGTAAATGCAAGAAAGATGGGTCTTGGATTCTGGGAATGCTGTGGAAGGTGACATAGACTGTCCCTACCTTTCGTAATTTACAGTTATAAAGGCCAGTAAAAACTTAGAGAAAGGATATGACTTAGAAGAGAGGCACAAAAATTGAAGATTAATAACAAATATATTAATCCTATTAATGAGAAAGGTTGGAGAAGGATTTAGGGATTAACCAAGTAGATTGTTGTGTTGGTTTTTCGGTTTTTCACTTGTTTAATTTTCCTCTGATGTTTTAGCTCCCTCATGCAGTAGACAAAGCTGGGTTTGTGAGGTGAAGAGAGGAGAACCTGAAGAAGCCACTTTTTAAATCAAATATAATGTTTGTTTTTCAGACGTTGCCTAAAAATTAAAAAAAAAAATCAAACCAAGATCACATTCTGATGTGTTGTACCACGGTGCTTCATTTTCTCACAGATAAGCTAAGAATCATAGAATCAAAGTCTCGCCTATACTTATTTTCTTTATTTTCTTTACAAAATAAATTAATTATTTGCTTTTTCAAGACTTTGTGTCTGTGCCTCACGCAGCGAACCTGTAGTTCAGTGGCTCTGGGTTTCCTGTCTCGCTTTTCCTGACAAAATGCCCCTTTTTGCTTCCAGGCGAAACTAATCCGTGACATCGCTTCGTGCCACGGCATTTTAATTACCTCCTATTCCTACATCCGCCTGATGCAGGACGTCATCCACCGCTACGACTGGCACTATGTCATCCTGGATGAGGGGCACAAAATCCGAAACCCAAACGCCGCCGTCACGCTTGCCTGCAAGCAGGTACTTCAGCAAAAATAGAGGAAAAAATTTAAGCATTGTTTGGAAGTTAGAATCATAGAATGGTCTAGGTTGGAAGAGACCCTTGGGATCATCGAGTCCAACCATCTCCCCTACTCTACAAAGTCCTCCCCTACACCATGAGTTCCACATGTTATAGTCGGTATTTATTCGTGATAAAAATACACGTTTGACCATTAATAAAGAGTAAAAGTGTCAGTCACAACGGTCTATACTGGACTATTTAATTTAATTATCATTTTTAATGACTTTACATCAATAAATTTACAGAAATATGGTAGAGAAAAAAATCTGCAATGTTAAATTGTGTAGTAATTTGCTGCTAGGGATAAAAATGAGATTCCTGGTGTTCATTTTCTGCTAACAGCTTATGGCCAATTTATGCAAAAAGCTGTTTATTTCTGGAATATAGGGCCAAATATTTTAAAATGAGAACTCATCAATGATGAAATTGAATGTCCACTTGAGCCAGGAGGCAGGTTACACTGTGAACCATGAGAATAACTTCCTTTTTGATGGTTTTTTGTGGGTTTTTTTAATGAATAGTTCCGCACGCCCCATCGGATCATCCTGTCGGGGTCCCCCATGCAGAACAACCTCAAGGAGCTCTGGTCCCTCTTCGACTTTGTGTTCCCAGGGAAACTGGGGACCCTGCCCGTGTTCATGGAGCAATTCTCTGTTCCAATAACCATGGGAGGATATTCCAATGCCTCTCCTGTGCAGGTAAAGGCATCCAAAATCTCTTCTCTTCTTTCAAAACTGACTTTTGAATGTACTTTGTTTGACCATTAATAAAGAGTAAAAGTGTCAGTCACAACGGTCTATACTGGACTATTTAATTTACTTAACATTTTTAATGAATTTACATCAATAAATTTACAGAAATATGGTAGAGAAAAAAATCTGCAATGTTAAATTGTGTAGTAATTTGCTGCTAGGGATAAAAATGAGATTCCTGGTGTTCATTTTCTGCTAACAGCTTATGGCCAATTTATGCAAAAAGCTGTTTATTTCTGGAATATAGGGCCAAATATTTTAAAATGAGAACTCATCGATGGTGAAATTGAATGTCCTCTTGAGGCAGGAGGCAGGTTACACTGTGAACCATGAGAATAACTTCCTTTTTGATGGTTTTTTGTGGGTTTTTTTAATGAATAGTTCCGCACGCCCCATCGGATCATCCTGTCGGGGTCCCCCATGCAGAACAACCTCAAGGAGCTCTGGTCCCTCTTCGACTTTGTGTTCCCAGGGAAACTGGGGACCCTGCCCGTGTTCATGGAGCAATTCTCTGTTCCAATAACCATGGGAGGATATTCCAATGCCTCTCCTGTGCAGGTAAAGGCATCCAAAATCTCTTCTCTTGTTTCAAAACTGACTTTTGAATGTACTTCACGCTGTATGTTCTAGTCACTACCCCAAAAGAGATTTGCATGTGTGTTTTACTGCTGCAGGTAAAGAACTGTGAGATCGTTTCATCTGTACAGGATTATAATTTATACACAAATAAAGTTAAATCATTAGAAGTGTTATTTGATACAAACTACAGATAAGCAAGTTGGGGCGGGAGGTGACTGGTCTCATATTTTGATGTACTTAAATAGAACTTTCCTGTTTGATGTCAAGCTTTGGCAAATGGCGCAATAGAGGGATTCTTAAATCCAAACTGAAATCTCTTTTCATTTAAAAAAGCTAAAATAGGTATTGGAAGTCTGAAAGTAGATAAACTACTTAATTTTTAAAGCAAAAACTATTTTGAATATTATTTAAGTCTATTAATCTTTGTGGTTGTCTTTCTCAGTATTTATGGCTTCTTTCGTTTTTCAAATTAGCTGATAGATAAATTGTCTGCAAAATAATCTGCAGACTAAGTCTCATTTAAGTGCTAATAAATTTGTTTCCTTTTAAATATTATCTGTAATGTTTTGCACATACTCTAAAGTTTTAGTTTCTTTTTGAGTCTTAAGTGCTTCCCTCGTCTAAAGCTTAGTAATTTACTAAATTGGGCAGCCAATTTGGTTTTTCTTTTACATATCAATAATTTATTATATTCTTTGTTTTGCTTTAAGAGAAATGAAGGTATTTTTAGCCATTACGTACAGTTAATACCCATCTCACACATCCATTACCCATTATAGAACCATATGCTCCATTTAAGGCCAGAGTGACCTTTCCTTTCTGTGATCCTGGGGATTTTCTTGTACCGATTTTTTTTTCTTCTTTTTTATTTTTTTTTAAAGTCTCAAGTGGGCACTAATCTTCACTTATTGTCTTGTAACCACCATTGCTGCAGGGCTCTTTTTTGATCTTTGGTGTATGTATTAGCAGTTTTTCGTGAGGCTTTTGGTTTTGTGCGAGCTTTTATTTACTACATAGGTTGTTTTCTAAAAGAAATCTCTCATTTCTGTTCTTGCTTAAATTATGCTAAATTAGGAAAGGTAAATTGGTGGTATCTGAGAAGACTTATTTATTCAATATTATTGTTACTAACCTGAATTTTATTGCAATTCATCTTGTGGCGAATAAGTAACTATAGATTCACATAAATCATAAAGCATCTAACTTTACAAGGACATTCCTCTTACTAAATACAAAAATTTGCATACTGATAAAACCAGTACCAAGAACCAAAATAGAATTTTTGCTTTTACTTCCTTTTTCAGGTAAAAACTGCTTACAAATGTGCCTGTGTGTTGCGGGACACCATAAACCCCTACTTGCTGCGAAGAATGAAGGCTGATGTCAAAATGAGCCTTTCTCTCCCAGATAAAAACGAACAGGTTTGTTTATCTTTGCTATTAGATCCGAGCCCTTTTCCTCCCCAAAAAATAGTCTTTCATGGACATTTGGAAATAATTTCTGCTAAGAGTAGATTAAATGCTGTTTTAACTGAGGATAAGAAATAGAGCTTTCAAGTTGCAGATTATTTTCACCTGTTTTGTGAATATTAAATGGTTGCAGTTTTGCAGGGTCTGCACAAGTACACTCTCATCTGAGAAATAAAGGATGTGTGCGTGTGTGTGATATATATATATTATTTTTTTTTAATGCTGTCCTTATAGGTCACAATTCAAATTCCTACAAATACTCACTTGTAGTAATTATTAGATTCTTCTGCCACTCAGGTTTCAGTGCTTCAGGCTTTCTTGTCCTCTGCTCGCTCTTTCCCTTCCCATCTCCTCCCTCTTTAAAAGAGAAGCAGAGATGGTGGTCTTTGTAAGACAGGTACTTAATAAATGAGAAGGCCCTACTCAATTTCTGCTCTGCAGCCTGATGGTCTTTTTTTAATCACATTTGGAATTTCTATATGCTTTAAAGAGTCTGGGCTATTTACTCTAAAAAATACAATCATAAACCCATCGAACAAATCAGATTTTTGTTCTTATCAATCATAGGGCTCTACATGGGTTTGACTTGAGGCATCATGTTGGGTGCCTTGCGGGATGCGAGGAAGCAATTTTGTTGTGTTTTAGCCCATGAGACCATGTGAAAAATCATTATAGACTCACACTCAAAGGCTAAGGACAGATTACGTGCGCTAACCTAGTTTTCCCATGAGGTGCCAAGAATTTGCAAGCTGTGAGGGACTTAACACAAACACTATGGAAAGCATTCCTGTAAACATAATTTTGAGAGAATGCAAACCTTGCACAGTTGCCTCATTAAAACTAGAAAATGGCAACACTTTGAAAACTAAAGCAATTTGAGGGGAAAATGTAACAACTGGGAAAAGGGGACAGAAATAACCCATGAAACCCATCTTAATTATGTTCATTCTCTAAAAAGTCTAATTTTTTTTATTTCTATTGGTTTCTATACATTGTCTGATATCTGTGAAGCTTCATTGTAGCACATCATAGAACTTGAAAATTTACTGCATTTGAAGTTTACAGGTTGGGTTTATGGGGTTTGTTTGTTTTGGTAGGTCCTCTTTTGCCGTTTGACAGATGAGCAGCGTCAAGTCTATCAAGATTTCATCAACTCTAAAGAAGTTTACCAGATACTCAACGGAGACATGCAGGTTGGCATTAATTAAGGTTAATGACAGGTATGGTTTTGATATGTAAAGCCAGGGACTGACCTGAGCAGAAAGGGAAGCAAATACAGGGATTTCAGTTCTGTTGTGTGTCCTTTTAACCAATGGCAAAAGGGAAGGAAAAGCTTGATCTCCAAGAGGTGGCTTGTACAAGGCCATCTGCAGAAATTTCTCTGTCACGGAATGAGCAATTATAGTTGCTGGAGCTCTGAAAATTTTGAGCAGTAAATGTCAGTGCTTTTATTAGATGTTTTGGGATGACAGAAAAAAAAAACAAACCAAACCCCAGTGTACAAACAAACCATAAATTATGAGCAGGCTCGTCCAACTTGCAGTGATAGGAGATTGAGGGATTTGCTGTTTCAAGCTAGTTCATTTTTATGAGCCCGCATTATATCAGAAGAATAAATAACCCTTGTATTATTGAATGAATAACTGAACAGAACCCTTCTAACATGGCATCAAAAGTAGTAATTTTCAGCTTCATATGTTGGTTCCAATGTGTTTATTCACCCGTTCTTTGTCACTCTGCATTCTGTTGGGTATCCTTGCTGTCCTCAAGCTCTGTCTGAAGTCACCTGCCAATGTGGTGGGGGTTGGAAGGAAGGACACAATAATTTCAAGTAACAAACTTGGTGGAATTTTCCCTTTTTGAGTAGGAAAAATTTGCCTGGGAGTTACAGCTTGGGATTGCTTTTGCTAATATGGAAATGGTTGCAGAATTATCTTAATATTGTCACCAGAATAGGCTCCCAAGAACCTAAAGTTTCATTGACCTTCTCTTGCACTCATTTTTTCCTAAAATTTTCCATGAATCCATGACCAAAGAGCAAACCACTACTGAAAACAAACTTCTTGATGATGACTGGATTGATCCATTGCTGTTTATTTTTCTCAACCACAACCCATAGAGGTAACAAATATTTGTCAATAAAATATTTTTCTCCTGTATTCTTTAGATTTTCTCAGGACTCGTAGCTTTGAGAAAGATTTGCAACCACCCAGACCTCTTCTCTGGTGGCCCCAGGATTCTGAAGGGGGTCCCAGATGCTGAAGTGGAGGAAGTGGATCAGTTTGGATACTGGAAACGTTCTGGAAAAATGATAGTGGTGGAATCCTTGCTGAAAATATGGCACAAGCAAGGTCACCGAGTGTTGTTTTTTACTCAATCGAGACAGGTAAGATGAGCTGATTGTTTTTATTACTAAAACTGGAAAAATGCACCTCTGTGTCCCAACGAGATTTGTAATTAGAACCACCTTTTGTAGTGTCTTTCTCAGAAAATCAGCATTTTATTGAAAAAAAAACAAAAACCAACCAAAATTATTTTGGAATAACTGGAGACCAGTTCCTGAGCTCCGTAAGCTTTACTGGAGTGACACAGCACTGTGGCAGCGTTGCCCCAGTTCAACATCCTGGGTCAAAGCTTGTATAGGTTGTACCCATATAATACCAGGCTGAAGCGGTGGTGATGTATTTATTGTCCCTAATCCTCAGGATTTTGTGCTTTGGGCCAGCAACACGGTGACTTTTATTTATTTTCCCTGTCTATTCATAATTTTGTCTTGTTTCCGAGGATTGCCTTAGTGTGCTGCACCATTTACCTGCTTAATTTTCTTGAGACTGTGGCTCTGGACTTCCCAAACCAGAAACAAACATTCCCCTTGTTATTTGACTGCTGAATGCACTTCTTTTTTTTTTTTTTTTCCCCAAGAATTACATTTTCTGCTCACTTAAGATTCACAAGTTCTTGGTCATCCTCTTGCCTGTTCGATTTGCACTGCAGTGTTAGGATCAGAAATTTTGATGACTTTGAGACAGTTGCTCAGCCTTCACAGCTGGATTTCATTAGATTATTTTCTTTTGCACAAACATTCCCCTTGTGCATTCAGCAGTCAAATAACTACTTTTTTTTTTTTTTTTTTCCCATAAACAAACATTCCCCTTGTTATTTGACTGCTGAATGCACTACTTTTTTTTTTTTTTTTCCCCAAGAATTACATTTTCTGCTCATTCAAGATTCACAAGTTCTTGGTCATCCTCTTACCTGTTGGATTGATGCTGCAGTGTTAGGATCAGGAAATTTTGATGACTTTGAGACAGTTGCTCAGCCTTCACAGCTGGATTTCATTAGATTATTTTCTTTTTTCCATCACAACAGATGCTGCAGATACTTGAAGTTTTTGTGAGAGACAGAAACTATTCCTACCTCCGGATGGATGGCACCACGACCATAGCTTCCAGACAGCCCCTTATAACGAGATATAACGAGGTGAGATGTTGCATCCCACCCCCTGATGCCTCAACCATTAGTGTGGTTGAGTTTTTGCATTCTTTTTGGTCTGATTTTTAAATATACTTCAGGTTTGAGGCACAAAACTGGGGAGTTTGGTCAAATGAAATCACTTCCTTGGTGAGAAGGGGGGGAAAAAAGTCATCACGTTTTTCACACATAAGTTGGGTTTTCTGCTAAGAAAAAAATCCACAGTTGAAAAGGGGGAAAATAAATTCTCTTGGACAATTAAATTGTAAATTTAAATTTTCCACAGTTGAAAAGGGGAAAAATAAATTCTTGGACAATTAAATTGTAAATTTAAATTTAGTAAATTAAAATTAGTAAATTAAATTTAGACCCAACTGCTTTTATTTGTCAAAAGAGATATTAGGCAACCAAAGAAATATATTCCTTCTCTTGGCTCCCTTTGCAAATACTTGTGATAATTTTTTTGTTTCCTGGATTCTTTTATTATCTTGTATTTTGGTAATTCTTGCTTTAGTAAATTCTCTTGTGTGTTACAGGACAAATCCATATTTATTTTTCTTCTGACCACTCGTGTGGGTGGCCTTGGAGTGAACTTGACTGGTGCTGACCGGGTTATTATCTATGATCCCGACTGGAATCCCAGTACAGACACACAGGTGAGTTGGGTTCGTTGCGATCCATACACAGGCTAAATTCAAATAAAACTGCAGATGGGAATGACATTTATCTCCTCCAATAACCTCAAATGGGTGTGTTGCTCTTCCCAGCGATGGCTGCTTTGGGTCCAGTTCCACGTTCTTGTGGCAAAGCCAATTTCAGTGGTTCCCACCACATCCCCTCTCCGCCGTCACACCTCACCGCTCTTCAATATTGTCAATTCATATTATCCATTTAGAGTTTAGCCAAACAGCTAAAATGGCCTGGTTTTTTAAAATTAAAAAAACCAAGGTGTTTCTGAAGGGAGAGTACAGCTCTGCAAGCTCTGGAACAGGCACAACTGCTCGTGGTGGCCAAGCAGGGTAAGAAAAGAACAAATGTTGCTTAAATTGGCTTTGTCACTGAATAACGATACGTAGCTCTGCCCTTGAAGCTGCTCTTAAGTCAATTCCTTAAAGAAGTTGTTCTTTGTCTGATGGTGTGATGAGACTCTGCTTTCTCAGATCCCTTAACAGTACACGGGGCTTACACCTTTGAGAGGAAAAAAGCTGTTTTTAATGGAAATCCCACGTAGCTGTGAGATCTGCGAGTGTGTAGTGTCACCCGGAGAGGTCTGGTTTAGCAGTTGGTTTGAGATCAAAGCTTTCAGCTAAGAAAAAGAGGAAAAGTTGGAAGGAAATGTATATATTAAAGCTGGACTGGGAAATAGATCCCTTTTGGAATAAGTCTATAGAATTCTTATCTAGGATAAGCAATTTATAATTTTAACATCATTGATTATTTTTTTTTTGAGATTTTCTTGCATGCATTTCTTGGTACAATTGGAGACCTATCTTTTTACACCTTCTAAATTGTTTTCCTCCTCCTGAGTTCCTTGTTCTAGTGCTGGAGAAACACCACAGGCTACCTGACTTCTTGAAGTATTTGTTAAATATCCAAACCAGGTTTGAAAGAAGCAGAATAAAGAGCTGTCTGTCAAAAATACAATGTCTGGTAACCAAACCTTTGTGTTGCAGGCTCGGGAACGTGCCTGGAGGATTGGCCAGAAGAAGCAGGTGACGGTGTACAGGCTCCTCACTGCGGGTACCATCGAGGAGAAGATCTACCACAGGTCAGTCAGTGATTCCATTGAATTCCATTGGATGATTTGGGAATAAAATCAAATTGGGTTTGCAGAAAAAAAATCAGCCCCAAGAACCACCAGTCATTTTCACGTTACTCATTCCAAAAATGTAGCTAAAAGCCTTAAAGTGCCTAAAATTAAGGGAATATATTTGTTTCACTTTCCCATTGAGCTTTCTCAGGAGTCAGTTTATTCCAAAAACATAGCTAAAAGCCTTAAATTGCCTGTATTTCCAAATTAATGGAATCTATTTGTTTCGCTTTCCCATTGAGCTTTCTCAGGAGTCAGCTTCACTCAGGTGAATTCCAGAGGAATGTAGGTGGGAATCCTCTGTCCAGGAGTTACTCTTTAAAGCTGGAATATCCTCTTTGGAAATACAGATGAATGAAAAGCTCTAAATAATGAAATACCAGCACTTAATGGGTATCTTTTTTAACGTTTCACCACGTGGACATAAACCAACCACCAGTGGGTGCTTTATGTCCCTCTGGCATCATTCTGTTTGACCACATGAAGGAAGTGGGCTCTGAGGGTCAGGACAACCAGCAGAAATCTCTTTCATTTCCAGAACAGCGCGATGGACTTGGAACTTTAAGCAAATTATCTTTTCTCTTTGTCTGTGTTTTCCTTCCTGCAAATGTGTGATCATCCTTGCAGAATCACAGAATGTGGGGTTGAAAGGGACCTCTGGAGAGGTCTGTAGGAGGGTTCTTTATTATTTTTTTTCCCTTCCTCTCCACCACAAACCGATTTTCCTCCTCAGTGCTTGTATCCAGGCATCGCTGTCAGACTGAACAAATCTGCTGCCTTTGGTTCCTCCAACTGATCAAACCAGTGAAATGGTGTCATTTTAACGAGCTCCTGTTTTTCTTTCAAGGAGCTTTCTGATAGTTTTATTATAATATACACAAGCTTTTCAGTTTTAACAGAGAAGAGAAGTTCTAGCTGTGGTTTATTGCGTGGTTAAGGGATGCCTGGTGGGACGTCTGAGGACAGCGGTTACCTGTTGTGTTATGGGGTTGTCACAAAACAATAAATCCCCATGTTTAACGGTTTAGTTGGTTGTTTGAAAGTTACAAACTCAAGATTGTCTTTTGGAAACTTAACGTCCTCTTCCCACTGCTTAATTGTTCTGTGGGGTAACGTTTGTGCTTACATAGTTTGCTGTTTAAGCACCGAATTCAGTACTTAAACGTAGCTAGACGTTATTTCATGCATAAAGTATTTATTTTTTCTTTTTCAGACAAATCTTCAAACAGTTTTTGACGAACAGAGTGCTGAAGGACCCCAAGCAGAGGCGCTTTTTCAAATCCAATGACCTTTATGAACTTTTTACTCTCAGCAGCCCGGACGTGTCTCAGGGCACAGAAACAAGTGCCATTTTTGCAGGTACACTTATTTTTCCTTATTTGTTTAAAAGAAAAAAAAAAAATGTTTGAAGTTTGATAAATGGGTACTAATTTGATTCATCCCTCAGGTACCGGTTCAGATGTTCAAGTCCCCAAACCCCAACTTAAACGGAAACTTGAGAAGCCACCAGATGATGACACTTCTAAAGGCAATCCCCATGTTATGGAAGGCAGGTCACCCAAGTACAGAAGATCATCCAGTTCCTGCTCAGCCACCCACGACACACATTCTTCTAAAGCAATAGAGACAAGGGAGGAAAGCAAAGGAAATCTGGAAAATTTTGACCAAAATAGCTATGCAAAAGATAATGCAGGAGCTGCTGCTAATTCAGAGAACACCGCGGTGGCTGATGAGGCCCGTGGGGCGGCAAACTCCAATATGAAGGGAGATTTTAGCCTCCCCTGTGGTGCAGCTGCCTCTTGGGAAACGCAGGTTGCTAAAACAGAAGATGGGCAATTAGATAATAATCATTCCAAATGCACCTCAAAAACAAAGCACAGGGTGGATGTGCCGTCCCACCAGAGCCACAAGGAGAAGCTGAAGAAGAAACAGCACAAAGACGCCAAATTTGAAGGAGAGCGCATTCCCCATCTCGTGAAACAGAAGTGCTACAGAAAGAACAGTGAAGAGAAGGAGGAAGATGCAAAGAAAAATGATGACTACGTCTTGGAGAAACTTTTCAAAAAATCAGGTAACTTTATTTGGCTGCTCAAAAGTATTAGGCTATTTAAACAGATGTATAAAACTTACGCAGGTGAGGGAAGGAGCAGTTCTGTTACTCTGAGGGTTAGACCTACAACAAAAACCTGGTTTGTTTATTCTGTTATTGTAGTAAAACATTAAAACAGTCATTGTTGAAATGCTCCAGTTATGAATGTGCTAATTAGCTTGGCATAAACACTTCAGATAGACCTGCAGCCTTCCAGAAAGGCTTCTGGATATAGAAGTAACACACTGTTTCTTCTGGAAATAAGGATGTAACCCACCTTTGTTTACACGAGGGTTTCACTTCTGTCTGTCCTGGCCAGAACAATAGAAATGATGGATTTACCCACATAATTGCCGAGTCTGTTGTGAATAATGACCTCATCAGCACACCAGAAGTGGTTTGCTGTCCAATTGATTGCTTAACTGATAGAAGGGGGTTCTCTTCTTCGAAATGACTGTGCTGAAGCGCTGAATGTAATCAACCTGGAAAAGGAAAAATGTGATTATGGCATTTGCTTAAACGTTGAATATTTAATCTTACAGAGAACCATGTAAATTAACAGATTTTCTCCTCTCTCTGGTCTGTAGGGGTGCACAGTGTTATGAAGCACGATGTCATCATGGAAGCCTCCAGTGCGGACCACGTGCTGGTGGAAGCAGAAGCCAGCAGGGTGGCCCAGGACGCCCTAAGAGCCTTAAAAGTCTCTCGACAGCGATGTTTAGGAGCTGCTTCTGGGGTGCCAACCTGGACAGGCCTCAGCGGCCTCTCAGGGGCACCATCAGGAATCAAGTAAGTCCAGTTCTTGCACCGTTTTCCCAAAAGTAGAATTCCTTAGGATACTATGGATTTAGCTTTTTTTTTTTTGCACTCGGTATTTGCAGTAACACGTATCAAAGTGGTTTCATGTTTTATATTTCATAAAAACATGGGGGCATATTACAAGCCTGAGAAGTCCCTTCTGAAGTACAAAGAAAGCCTTATTGTTGCCCAGTAGAGGAGAGAGCTCAGCAGAGAGCTCTTGAGAAACCCTAAAACACAAACCCAGTCAGTGTCTTTGGCAAAAGTTGTCCTAATTATTTTGAGCAGGATGTTTTATGGAGTTAATTCTTCTGTGGGTTTTTAGGAGTCGGTTTGGTCGAAAGAGAAACTCCATGCTGCTCTCTTCACATTCCACTTGTGCATCACCTGCCAAGAAGTGCAAGGTAAGAGACACCAGCTAACGTTTCTCTAGCTGATAGATATGAAATGTTCTCATTTCTGCAAAAAAAAAAAAAATCTGATTTATACTGTAGATATGTCTCATACCCATTTGTTATATGATTAGCTAGAATTCTAGAATTTTTAGTCACCCATGAATTCAATTTTCCATGTTTTGGTACAGCATCTTCATCATAGAATCACAGAATGGTTTGGTTTGGAAAGGACCTTAAAGATCATTGAGTTCCAACCCCCTGCCCTGGGCAGGGACACCTCCCACCAGACCAGGTTGCTCCAAGCCCCCTCCAACCTGGTCTTGAACCCCTCCAGGGATGGGGCAGCCACAGCTTCTCTGGGCAACCTCTTCCAGTGTCTCACCACCCTCACAGCATAGTAGTATCTATCTAGTATCTAATCTAAATCTCTCCTTTTTCAGTTTAGAACTGTTACCCCTCGTCCTATCACTCCCCTCCCTGATGAAGAGTCCCTCCCCATCTCTCCTGTAGCCCCTTCAGGGACTGGAAGGCCATTATAAGGTCTCCCCGGAGCCTTCTCTTCTCCAGGCTGAACAACCCCAGCTCTCTCAGCCTCTCCTCACAGCAGAGGTGCTCCAGCCCTCTGAGCATTTTCATGGCCCTCCTCTGGACCCATTCCAACAGGTCCATGTCCTTCCTGTGCTGAGGACTCCAGAGCTGCACACAGTGCTCCAGGTGGGGTCTCACCAGACCAGAGTGGAGGGGTATGATGAAATCTAATTAGGTGGAGCAGTCACAAATTGTGGTGTGATCTGGTTGTGCATCTCAAGACCATCAATGCTTTTCTTTTGCTTTCTAATTTCTAAAGTTGAGACCTGAACGTACTATCTGTGTGTTGTATATTTCAGATTAGTAGCTTCTGGGTGGTCACGTTTGTGGCTTTAAGTCCAAACAGCAGACAGATTTTGTTTAACAGATTCTGTGCATCTTAAAATCCAACTTTCTCCATGGTCTCTGTGTTTATTTGCAGGATGCAGATATAATAAAGAAAGAAAACGTAAAGAAGTGTCCTTCCAATGGGCACTTTGATGGAAAATCTGGAGAATCCTCATCCAGCGCACTGGACTCTTCGTCTTTATTGGCCAAGATGAGGGCGAGGAACCACCTCATTTTACCCCAACGGATGGAGGAGGAGGGAGATGAGAATCATCACCAAGCACCTGCCCAGGCCCCACCTGCCACAGAATATGATGAGCTGCTGGTGGACGTGCGGAACTTCATCGCCTTCCAGGCCCGGGTGGATGGTGAGGCCAGCACTCAGGAGCTGCTGCACCACTTCGAGTCCAAACTGCCCCTGGAACAGTCCTGTGTCTTCAGGGAGCTCCTCCGTAATCTCTGCACCTTCCACAGGAACCCCAGAGGGGAGGGGGTCTGGAGGCTAAAGCCAGAATTCCAGTGACTTCCCAGTCTTTGTCCTTTCAAAGACTCACCGTTTACCTTTTAAAAATGAGGAATTATTTCATATTCAGCATTTAATAATTGACTGCGGCGCTTGTTGCAGGCTCGGAGCTAACTTAATTTCTGCTTGACACTATTTATATGAAAGTGCCATCTACCTCATGGATGAAACGATACGAAATCTCAGCACCTTTTCTTTAAAAGAAACCTTAGTGTAAATGGGGTGAGGAATACACAAACTGACGGTTTATTGCAATAAGAACCATGGATGTTGCCGTGGGTTGTAAGACTTTTATCTGATTTCTGTGAAATTCCAAGAACTTCTTCCTTGATTTCCTGTATCTTACTTGAATGGTCGTGGGGCACAGGGTGTACCATCGAAAAAAAGAAAATGATAGCTGTCAGCCTGAGAGATTCACTGGTACCAAAAAGTGCATAAAAATCACCGTACGGCACTTCCATCAGTAGGGAGAAGTTTGGTTTAATGTTGGTGCTTTTAGTGGTGCCAGCATCAGGCAACACAGGAAATAATTCCATTATTGGGAAATAATTCTACTGCCACAGGTTTAATCACTAAAATGGGAAGGCTGGCAGGGTATTGAGGTGACTGGCAGTTAATAATTATGGAAAACTTGATATCTTATGGAAAAGCCGTAGTCATGGCTGCGTTACACTCCCATAAACCAGTGGCAGTTGCTTGGTACAGTATTTCTTAGCACCGAGGTGACAGTAACTGTTGTGTTTGTCACAGGTCGGGGGCTGATAATTGAAATCCCATTAAACATTCACGGGCCTCACTGTGATTTATGTCAAAAACTTTCCAGTTCCCTCTTAGCACTTAAAAGCTTATACCTTGACAAAGAGGGGGGATGGTTTCACTGTATGTCACTAAATATAATCACTTTTGGCCAGAGATGTAATGAGAATATACAGAAGTTATGGGTCATACTCAGTCTGCAGATCAGGAAAATCTCAGTCTTCCTGACAGTCAGACAAATTCCAGTACCCGTTTCCTTCCAAGGCAAGGAAGGATTGGATTATTTGTAGCAAACTCGAGTACTACACTGGCTCTGTTGTGTGGAAATCTTAAGGAGGGGGGAAAGAATGGATAGATTTTGGGAAGAAAACCACATTCTTGCAGCATCATTAAATTACTGTACAGCTTCAAACTAGGAGCAGTTAAATACACCCAATATCCTTCCTGTCCCCAAGCGACTGAGCAGAGGGAAAGCTGAGCTACTTTTAGTTTTTTCTTCAGTGTGAAAGTATCTTGTTTACCTCAAGTAAAGTGCAACTGTGGAAAAGATGAGGGGTGAAGCAAGAGTATAAACCACTACTTTGTTCTCGTAAAGAAAGTCTTTACAATACTTCCAATGCCTTTTCTTCTTGTGTTGCTCCATGCTGAGGGATCCGTAGAGATTTGTGGTGGTGCCTCACTGTTTTCCATCACTGCTTCGTTGGCTTTTCAGCTGGAGATGGAGAGGGCAGAAGGTCCAAGAACCTGTCCCTTTCCCTCATGGCATTTGGAGGTGGGGCTCTTGCACCTTTTTCAGGAAAAAACATCTGTTTTTTTCTGATTTTCATTTATATTCACTTACATTCCCTCTTTCAGGAGAAAGATGAAGCCAAGAATCCAGGCTGCAATTACAAAACACTTCTTCAAAAATTGCAGATCTGTTGATGTGACTTAAAATGGATCACTAAAAGAGTAAAAACAGACCAATTTGCTGTTCTCTTCCAAGCTATAGAGAATTTTAATTGGGTTTGGGTGTCATGCCCCAGGAACAAACCAGGAATTCAGCTTTTGGCAAAGCTGCTGCTGTCCCTGTAGCTGTCACTCATGGTGCCCTGTTTTATTTACTACTCCCAGTCCTAAAGTTCCTGTACTCAGGAAGGTTTGCAGCTTCGCACTGATCTGTTGATGTAAATGGACTTGCATGTGCTTTTTATAAACCCTTGGCTTTTATGGCCTTATTAAAAACGCAAAAACAAATGTCTGGTCTGGAAATCTTTGGGGTTGGGGGGGGAAGAATGGGGTGGGGGAACAATCTCTTTCCTAAATTATTCATGAAGGGATTTAAAAGACAAATTGACATAGTGCTTAGTGACATGGTTTAGTCGCACTGATCTGTTGATGTAAATGGACTTGCATGTGCTTTTTATAAACCCTTGGCTTTTATGGACTTATTAAAAAAGCAAAAACAAATGTCTGTTCTGGAAATCTTTGGGGTTGGGGGGGGAAGAATGGGGTGGGGGAACAATCTCTTTCCTAAATTATTCATGAAGGGATTTAAAAGACAAATTGACATAGTGCTTAGTGACATGGTTTAGTGATGGTTTTTATCAGAGTTGGGGTGATGGTTGGACTCGATGATCTTAATGGTCCCTTCCACCCCAGGCAATCCTAGGATTCTGCTGCAGGTTGTAGACATTTGACTTTTCTTACAGTAACAACCTGTCCCACAAGAAACATCAGTGAGATGCTGAATGGTAGAAATAGTGATTAAAAATGGGCAGTATTTTTTAAATGTGTAACTTCATGCTGTGGCTCAGCCTCTTCTCAAAGGGCTGCACCACGAGGGGAGTGGAGTCTGCTACAGCTAATAGACATTGTCCTCCTGAGGAAAGCTGTAAAGAATTGAGCTTTTTTATCTCTTAAGTTTTGGCTTCAGGTGATAGGTCACCTGTAGTCAGTTGTACTCAAGTCACAAGGACAACTTTGCATTGGATTCCAAGGTTGCTAAACTTGACTAATTTTGACTGTCTTCTAATAGTGCCATTCTCTGCCTTAGAAGAAGCCACAACAGAAGGGACAAGACTTTCAAAAAAGGACTTGATGGGATTTTTCTTGCTGTTCCTAAAATCCTGGGGCATTTTCCTTCTTTGAGCTACTGAGTGATCAGGAGTAAAGTCTCCCGTTCCTCAGCAGAGACCCTTGTGTCCTGATTCCCCAGTGAAATTGATGTCTGAAGTCCATTTGGTTTATATTGATGTTAGTTTGCAATTTAATCAGGGCTTTTTTTTCCCCTCATCTACCAATTAACTCAGTTTGGTAACAATCAGGGTGTTTTTTTTTCCCTCATCTACCAATTAACTCAGTTTGGTAATGAATGAATACTGCCAGGGCTCGTGATGCCCCATCGCTGGTATGTAAGGGAAAAGGGAGAACGTTTTGCCTTTGCTAAAACCAAGCAGATCCACTAAATCTGCTCATTAAACAATAATAGCAGTGTGGAGCTGAGAAGGGGAATCCTCAGAACAGTGTTGGTGGGGAGGGAGGGGGTTTTCCAGTAGATTTTAAAATGTTACACTTGGAGATCTATCAAAAAAAAGAAGTCCATGTATCATTCTTGATATACCAGTGACAAAGCTATCCAGGATATCCAGGCAGGCATCACAGACGTAGAAAAAGCAGTGTGGAAGTTACTGTTACAGGATGTGTCCTTCGGGGAAAGCTGCCCCAGGAAGCAGTAATTTAAGCAATTAATTTGACAAAACAGTCTGAGAGAAAACAGTAACTTGATTAATGTTCTTTGGAAAAGGTAACGCTTTTCTCCGGCATAAAAATTATTTTATTTTTAGGGCAGCACAGTCACTGAGGTGGTTTAAAACGTGGAGTAATTTTCCTGTTTGGCCTTTTAGGAGTAGGGAGACCTGGATTCTCCTGCTTTAAACCCCCGGGCGGCTCTGGCTGTGGTTCTGTGCTGCCTGCTGCATTGCTCCCCCCATCTGACAGATGCTGTCTTCCAGGGAAGGCAAGAAATCCTTCAAGTCCGTTGGAAATGCTTCAGGAAATGACCAAAGAAGTCCTGGTTGGAAAAAAAAGAGGTAACACAGCACCTTACTGTCGAGCTCGTTCATTCAGCAACTGTAGTTTGCACAAAACTCTCCTGCAAAACTGCTGAGAGTCCCGTTTTTGAAGGGCTCGAGTAGGGCAGATGCCTTGGAGTCAGGATGTGCTGCTCTGGGGAGTTTATCTCCTCTGGGAGAGGTATTTATATATTAGATACGTGGTAAAAATGCTCTCGGCTACTTAGGGCCATTTATAATTCCCCCTCCCAGTTCCAACATCCAAGCTAAATGCTGAATGTCTCCATTCCAACATCCAAGCTAAATGCTGAATGTCTGCTTCCTGAGGCAGTGGCTCCCTCCATCTCCCCAGCCCTCCAGGGATGGCTATTCTGGGCGCTGGGGTGATGTCAGGGCCCCTGCTCCTCCACGTGGGATGGCCCATGTGGGACCTTCCATCAGCTGAGGCTCTTAATAACCCTTAACTTTTTGCTGGTGACCCAGGTTTTGCTGCCCCTCCTGTCATTGCAAAGAGAAATGAGTGAAATACCTTGTGCTGGTGCTCCCTGACCGCAAGGTGAAAACTGCGTTGCGTTCAGGGAGCAGAAAACTATTTTTTTTTCCCAAAAAAATGAGAGATCTGTTGCAAATGACTAAACTGGGAGCTACAGAACCTGCCCAGAGAGCGTACGAAGGGCCAGGCAGCTTCCAGACTGCTCTGTCCACTTCTTCCTCGCTATTTGTGCTCAGGTGAAGTTAGTGGGGAGATGGGTGAGGACATGCTGAGCTCTTCCTTCTGACCGGTGGGGCTGGGGCTCTGAAATGCACCCTGGAGGCTCCCAAGTCCATTTTGCTCAGCCCACTAACGACTCCGTGTGACAAACAGGCTTTTTTCAATATATTTGTATATTAATAGAATACACATCGTAATTATGGAGTCACCAAAGACAACGTTACACCCCACACCGTAAATCCCACTCTTCTCACCCATAACCCCTACCTGAAAGCCAGATGATTTGGAACCCTCCAAGCTTTCTATCCCATCCTTTGAGAGAGGGAGAAGGAAAAGCACTGCCAGTGCTGAATTCCTTAAGAGAATCCACCCAAAATTTGAAGTCGTTAACTCTCTATCACAGCTCCCTAAGGATTCCCAACTCTTCCTGGGCTCCCAGAGCCGCGCTGCTCCCAACGTGGAGGCTGAAGAACCTATTTTTACTGCGCTAATTGCAAACCCGCACGCGGTATCGTCAGTGGGGCTATGACCAGCTCCTGCATAAGGCTTTACATAAGCTGGTGAGTCACGCCGTCTTACGAAAGAGTGAGGGAGTGAGGCTCTCATTATGTTGTTTGCCTCCTCAGAAATATGAAAATAAAAGAACACAGCACTCGGCGGGTTACGCTTGGCTAACTGGAATTCCTGCCGGCGCGCTCCTGCGACGGAGGCACTTCGTTTTGTTTGTGGTCCCAGCTTATATTAAAGAGAGAAGATTTTTTCATAAATCCTCGCCTCTAGGGCAGAGTTAAGGTTGTTTGGGAACCCTAGCTACGTGTTTCCAGACATTAATGTCTGGAAGCAGCACCATGGGAGCAGAAATGGAGGTATATGCCTAGGGAGGATACCAGGAGTAAATGAAGAGGCCCAAGGGCAGGGTAGGGTTTGTGAGGATAAGCACGTGAAGCAGCAGTGGAGTGGAAGCAAAGCTTTTAGGATGACTCAAAAACAGCCTAGTGATGATTCCTCCCATCTTACTGGTCTCTTTCCGTGCTCACAGGCAGGTGGTTGAGTGGATATCACTTTATCCAGCCCTGCTGTTAGCCGTGGCTGAGCTACCTACAGCCCGTAGAAGACACCGGGAGAGCCTGATGTGCAGGAGCACACAGTGCCCTTCACACCCGTCTGATGAACCCATCGCTGCTTCTCGTTTCCCTCCATCAGTCCTCTGCACCTCGTGTGGCAAACTGGCCCAGCAAGCTTGTCTCCTGGTGAAAAAAACCATAGCAATTGTAACTACTCACCACTTTTTATTTTATTTTTATTTTCTCCAAACACGTGGCTGCAATAGCTGAAGGCTGGAACAAGTGACAGTAAAGAGGGAGCCTGGAGCTGAAGAGCCGGGAGGCCAAGTGCCCGAAGAACTTCAGCTTGAGAGCAGCAGAGGGTGAGTGTCTCCTGGATCGGAGCTGTTTGAACAAGCCACATGAAACCTCTTTGTTGGGGTTTTTTTGCCTCCAAATGGCTAATTTGGGACCATGTGGAGCTGTATCTTCTTTGACACCACCTCATTCCCCTGTGGGCTCACAAGCTTGCTCGGTGGAAATACTCCTGTCCACTGCAGCGTGCCTAAGAGAGGAGCCAGGGGATGCTTGTACCTGCCCCATAACCCGTCATAACCCACCTTCTGCCCCATAACCCACCTCCCTTTGCTTTCCCACCTGGAAAAAAAAGGGGACACGGGACTGTGTGGCACAAGCAGAGTTTTTTTGCCTCCAAATGGCTAATTTGGGACCATGTGGAGCTGTATCTTCTTTGACACCACCTCATTCCCCTGTGGGTCCACAAGCTTGCTCGGTGGAAATACTCCTGTCCACTGCAGCGTGCCTAAGAGAGGAGCCAGGGGATGCTTGTACCTGCCCCATAACCCGTCATAACCCACCTTCTGCCCCATAACCCACCTCCCTTTGCTTTCCCACCTGGAAAAAAAAGGGGACATGGGGCTGTGTGGCACAAGCAGATGATCAGGAATCATTTGATTGCTCCTCAACAAGCTGCCTTAAAAAGGACGAGTGTGTAGGATGCTTGGGTTGGTTTGGTGTGGGGTTTTTTTTGGGAGTGGAGTGGAACTCCCTTCATCAACCAAAGGCGGGGGGGTGGAGTAAATTACTGAGGGCTGGTTTGGGAATAATTTAAACCTTAAAATGGCTTTCCAGAACGGGAATGCTTCTCCCCCCATACCTAATAACTTTGAATCCCGGCTGCCTTGACAGAGCAGGGACCTGGATTGAGCCTGAACCCCCCCTTAGAGACGGTGGGTGCCCAGGGGCTCAGCAGCGCCCAAATCAAAGCTTTTAAAAAAAAATAAATAACAAATATGTAAGTTTTTTCTTTTATAAATGTGCTTTTATTTCAGAGACTGGGTTTCCCCCCCCTACCACCAGGTCCCCCGGCCGGTGTTT